AATAAGTGAAAATTATTACTTGTACTATTAAATAGTCTTACTGTCCCCATTTATCTGTATTTATTTCCTGTTTATGATCATACTTATACTTGTTATCTTGTACATGTTGACAAACAAATAAATAAATACAAGACTTAAACATAATACAAATAGTCTTCAAATTAACAACCACAACTGGGATTTTACAACCTTTTTTACCATGGTCATTAAGCAAATCCAGCTTCCTCCCATTTCCTTATTGGAAGCCCCTGACTAGGTTGCAAATGGTGGTCACATGACCTCAGGATACTGCAGCCGACGTAAATACATGTTGGTTGCCAAGGGACCCAACTTTTGATCATATGACCTGGTAAAACAGTTAAATCTGTTTTATTCTTTTATTGGTGGCACAAATTTCTTCATAACAGCAATATCATTTCCTTGGTCTGGGGGAATGCTTGTTCAACAGCTTTCAGAACTGTCTTGTCCAAAGGGTGGCCATATCATAAATATGAACAAGATATGTATCCCCATCCAACCATAATACACCATTCATTATTTAGGATTTGGATTTTTAAAAAAAATCTGTTAGAAACTTTATTTTGAAAACATAAAATATGTACCATATCAATAATTCTACATCTTTACCTGATGGGCATGACTTTATCTCCAGTTCTGCTCATGTTAAAGGCTCTTCAAAAGTTTATTACCAGTTGTAAAGTGGCATAACTTATGAATTTATTTAAATGTATTTTTAAAGGCAAAGAGTGTTTTCATTTTTAAAAATTTAATCATTCTAAGAAGAAGGGCACCAAATTATTTATATTGAAGCATTGATGTATTGCTCCTGGTACTAGAAGTTTAACGGTTTAGGGGTTTCGAGGGAATAAATTATAACTTGGTTTAAAACCTGAAACGTTGCAGTATGTTCATTGACAACTACATATATACTTTTTGCTTTTCATTTCAGCTGTAGTCGTGACATGGAGAATAAAGAAACCCTCAGGGGATTGCAGAAAATGGATGATCGCCCAGAGGAGCGAATGATCAGGGAAAAACTCAAGACAACATGTATGCCTGCTTGGAAGCATGAATGGCTAGAAAGAAGAAGTAGGAGAGGCCCTGTGGTAAGTAACTTTGAAATCAGTTAAAAAGCAGAATTGCTGAAAGCACAGAATTTGCTTTCTTATCTTATATTACCTTACAGTTGGTACTATAAGGAATTGTAATGAAATCCTGTTTTTTGTTTCATTTTTTTCATGTTGCTGTTTTCACTGGAAGGATAGATCTGCAGTGCCTCACCAAATCAAATTCAATTTAAATTTCTGTTGCTTAAAATGACACAACACTGCCCTCTATGGGTAGCTTTTTTAAAACTTTCTGCTTCATTTGTTGAAAACAGTTGTGATTACAAAAACTAGAAGGAAGATATGTTTTATATTTCTATTTTTTATTTGTATCTCATATTTGTTATTTTACAATAAAACATTGTGAATTTTAATATTGCTTATCTAACGTGCCTGTGGTAATTGATCACAATACAGTGAAAGAGGCAATGTTTTCCAAAATATAAAACTCAAAGACAGTTTAGGACACAGTTTTGATTACCAAACATTGAAGAAATCAGTGCTGTTTTCTTGGAATGGAATACATTATAATAATTTATTAAACTTGGCTAAAAGAACCATACTAATTTTGAGATCCTGCACAGAAAAACTGGATTCTCTGTAAATAATTACTAGATTACTAGTAATCACTATTACTAGATTTTCATAAAGTAGACGTTCTCAATTAGTTAATTAATTCGTTAATTTGGTTAATTTAAACTTAACTAACTAAAAATAGATGCTCGTTAGCATTAAAAAACAGTTTGTGGAAATCCCCTCCTCAATTTATCTACAATTTAATGAGAATATTTGCTTTCTTTTGGAAAACAGAGACATTTTTTTCCTATTGTTTCAAGGTGGTAAAACCAATACCAATGAAAGGAGATGGCTGTGAAGCAAACAAATCAGTAGCAGAACCGCCTCCTGGTGGACAAACAAATCCCACTTCACCTACTCAGAAAGGGAGACGGAGCCCTTCTCCTAGCGGACCCTTCTCATCGTCCTCCAGGACTGTTAAATCTGAGTCACCTGGTGTTAGAAGGAAGAGGGTATCTCCTGTACCTGTAAGTAATTATGGGATAGCCTTAGCTTATGAAACCAAATTCATATGTCTCCTTCCATATCAGCTGATATCTTGAATTAGGAATCCTTTGGTTTGATGGACATAAATGGTGTTTTAGTTATGTTTTCTGTAATGTAAACTCATTTTACCTTATTATATTTGCCTGTTTTTGCTGTTTTAATTTCTGATTGATTATAAACTGCATTGGACTCTAAATTGTATAGGTTTGTATGAGGAATAGATATTACTACTTGCTTTATTTCTGAGAGAAAAGTATAGAAGTAGTAATTTTATAGTATTTAGTGGAAGAAGTGTTACTTCTTATTACCTAATTATTACTTTTTATTATCTAATTATTGTGTGCATTCTACTGGTTTGGAAGGAGATAGCTGAATTTCTTTGAAAGGTCAAGAAATGGGAAAATGAAAAGGAGAGACAAAAATTACTGAAAATAAAATTAATTTTTAAGTTTCAGAGTGGACGTATAACACCCCCACGAAGAGCACCTTCTCCAGATGGCTTCTCACCATATAGTCCTGAGGAAACAAATCGTCGTGTCAACAAAGTCATGAGAGCTAGATTGTATCTCTTGCAACAGATAGGACCTAATTCTTTCTTGATAGGGGGAGACAGCCCAGATAATAAATACAGAGTGTTCATTGGTCCTCAGGTATGAATTGAAACAGTGTTGACTATTTAATAAACTCATTTGAGAAGATGTAATTAAGATGACTTCTCTAGGTTTAAGAGGACATGTGAAAATGCTGAAACATTTCTTGCTTTCCAGAAATATTTTATTTCTCACTTGCATAAATCAGAACATAGGCATTGACAAAGTATCAAGTGAAATATAAACAGCTATATGAATGTCATGTTGATTATGTCAGCAACAGCAGTAGTTTGGAAAGAATAAAGCCATCATTAATCAAGTATTTCTTGTTTTGAAGAAAGCAGAAACATAATCCTCATAAATCTGTAAGAAGTGATTTGGGGGGAAGGTTACAAAAACAATATAATATGGCCATAATAATCACAATAAATAAATTTCTATTTATAGACATGTAGCTGTGGACGTGGAACATTTTGCATTCATCTACTGTTCGTTATGCTTCGAGTGTTTCAACTTGAATCTTCAGATCCAATGCTGTGGCGAAAAACCTTGAAGAACTTTGAGGTAGTTCCGTTCTATTTCTTTTGTCACAAGTATACAGTTGTGGCTTCTGAAATTTACCATACAGAATTTCTACAGTTCCAAAATTACAGAAATTTGATCACGTCATTTCTAAAATCAGTTAATAACAAGTGTTACTCCAATATCAAATAAATGAGTGGAGTTCCCTGAATAAATTATCCATTATTATTTCTCCATTTTAATAATTGGAATTTACCAGGGTTAGCTAAAAGACCATGTTCTTTACAGTAAGCACTTACTTTCTCTCTATATTGCATAGACATTTATATTTACTACGACTGCTTTTTTCTCTGAACTATATAGATATTTAAAGGTGGAAAATTTATCTTAGTTATCCTTAGTCCTGGCTGATTATTGCTGAAATACATCCATTAACCATGAGAAAGATCAGGGCACAGGGTGATGTCATGTAGCTTTCAAACAGTGGTAAAGAGTTGGCCCTATTATTCATGTATTATTTTATTAGTATAGTTTATTTAAATTATATGGTATTATTTCTCTTGTTCTTTAGGAGGTAGCATCACTAGTTTATGTCAAATGGAAAATTATGAGCGTTGAACATACTTTATTTAATTTTCACATCTAAAGTAGAATTTGGCAACATTTAGCATCTGTGCTTGCATTCCCATAAATGAAAGAGAGAGAATGTGTATGCATATATGTCTAATTACAAACGATACCATTTACAGAATTCATCCATACCATAGTTGGTATTTATAGTATGCTGTTATTTTATATATGTGTATTTATTATTTGGTAATAAATAAATTGATACAGTTTTACCTTATAGTTTGGCTGCAATTATATATTTATTTAAGAGAACTCAACTTTTAGTAGTTCATATTCTAACACTGCCTATTAATATTTTCTCCCAATGTTAGGTTGAGAGTTTGTTCCAGAAATACCACAGTAGGCGTAGTTCAAGGATCAAAGCGCCATCTCGTAACACCATTCAGAAGTTTGTCTCACGCATGTCAAACTCTCATACACTGTCATCTTCTAGTACATCTACATCTAGTTCAGAAAATAGGTTAGTAATTATTCTTAAGAAATCAGTACTGCTATTCAAAATAGTCTCCATTTTTATAAATAGACAACCCTGTGACTTATTGGGTCATCCTTTGAGAGTATAGTGTGAAGTGACCAGAATGAACACTGAATTTTCCTGAACTGTATTGCTGTCACTCAAGAGGAAAAAAAAAAAAAGTGGGAACAGGGGTGACCTCCTGCTGGCTTCCCCACTAACTTTGCTTTTGGGAAGCTGGCAGGGAACAAAGGATATCACAATCACATGCCCATAGGGATACTGCAGTACCCATAACTTTGCAAATAAAATTGGGCTAAACATCATGGAAATTTCAATTCCACATAAGTAATGTGTCCCAGATTTTTAATGGCAGTCCAGTGGTTATTGCAGACTATTGCAGACTAACTAAATCGACTGCCAATAGTTTGATCTTGACCAGCTCAAGGTTGACTCAGCCTTCCACCCTTCCGAGTTTGGTAAAACGAGGACCCAGATTATTGGAGGCAATATGCCGACTCTGTAAAACTCTTAGAGATGGCTGTAAAGCACTATGAAACAGTATATAAGTCTAAGTGTTATTGCTATTGCTATCATTAACAGATTTTCAATACTTTCATTTAAAAATTGTGAATGCACTATTATTTATTTAATTAATTAATTTTATATTGCCGCCTATTCGCCCATGGCGACTCGAGGCGGCATACACAATGTGAAACCATATTTAAAACAAAAAAAATAAAATAATAAAAACTAACAAAAAGAATCAAATAAATTAGTAAAGTACAATAGAACAAAATATGGGAAAACAAAAAACAAAACATTAAAAAAAACTAACTTGAAGGTACAAAAATAGAAACCAATAAATACAGCGAGAATTTTGTAGTATACTTTGTAGTATAGGTAGATACTTGCTTTATTTTTCATATTTAAAAAAGGGAAAATATTCCCATTTGGACAGTTATTGTAAGTCAACATTTTTTATTTTGTTTTGTTGCTTAATAGATTGAGACCTAAGTATGAAGTTTGGACTAATTTTTGTTTGTTACTATGTTTTGAGCAATATTTCTGTTTGTTCTGTTTATTTCCTTGTGTCTTGGTATGTGTCTTTCGACATTTCTAAGTAGAGGCCTGCTGCTGTAATCACAGGGTTGTTTTGTTAAAGAACTAGTATATGCAAGAAGCTGTTTGGTGCATGATTAGAGGCTCTTAAAATATAATAGACTCTTTAAGAATATCTCAGCTTTTAAAAATAAACTAGTATAGGTGAATTGAGACCATTCATTTAACAACTGTTCAAAGTTATAACTGTGCTGACAAAGTGACTTATGACCTTTCCTTGCACTTATATTGGATCCCCAACTTGGGTGGTTGGCAACCAGCATGAACTTACGACGGTTGCAACATCCTGAAGGCCACATGATCATTTGCAATAGAGTTTTCGAGAGTCAGTCATAGTGTTCGTAGCAAGAGCCCCAGGCGTGGCTTGCACGAAAATTGATGAGTTAAAATCCTGATTTTTTTGAATGATGGTTGAATTAATAAGGTGAACCTTTTTGTAGCTGCCCTTTTTGGTCGAATAAGAAAACGAAGACCCGGAAACTTTTTTTTTTCTTTTTGTAGCGGAGCAGATACTATGAAATTTTGCCCGGCCCTCCAGGCTCTTTTAAATTTCAGTCTAAATATTTTATATTATTGTGATTGTTTTTCGTCTAGGCTACCTCATTTTCTTCATGTTTTGATTGTTTTAACCACATATTGGATTTCATAAGCTGCCCAGAGTCTACTGGAATGGATGGCAATAACAAAATAAAATAAATAAAAATGACTCAAGTTATTTTCATAAGGAAAGTTTACAAAATAAAATTGTAGGATATTGATATGAGTAGTATGTTTTTTAAACATACTACTAGAAGCCAGAAGTTATTTTTAATAACTTCTGGCTTCTAGGCAGATATAGTAGCTCCTAAGGAAACAGAACTTGTCTCTGAATTTTCTCTACATAAAAATGAGAAGCAATTTACAAGATCTCTGGAAAGGAATTGTATTTATTTAAGTTTTTAGTATTTAAAATTCTTGTGCTTAAATATGAAAAATGAACACTGATTTCTCAGTTTGGTGGTTTAACTGAAATAGTTACATGCTGGTTATGTGTGTAATTTATTTTCTCACTGTCAGAATGCATTTATTTACTGTAACATTTATAGTGTTTCAGTAAAACACAAGATAGAGTTCTACCCAGTGGTGGGATTCAAATAATTTAACAACCAGTTCTCTTCCCTAATAACTGGCTGGGTGGGCATGGCCATGGTGGGTGTGGTCAGGGTGTGTGACAGGCAGCACTCAGCCTTCTGCACCCCCCTGGGAGCAAAAACGGGTTTTGGGAGGGCGCACCACACCCGGCACCCTGTTTTGGGCCTCATAGGCGTGCCTGCACTTACCTGGGAGCCAAAACAGGGCACATGGGGACTCCTGGAAGAGGCAGGGAGGGGAAGAGCTAGCCAGCAATTTAACAACCGGTTCGGCCGAAGTGGTGCAAACCAGTTGAATCCCACCACTGATTCCACCCCAAGATCCTTCAAGTATAATATCTGTTACTAATTTCTTGAGCCATATATTTGGGAATTGGCACAGCCCTTGAATCCTAAGAAAAGACACAGCTACTAAGGAATTGTTAATAGATCCTATGTGAAAGATATTGCATGCTCTGAGGATCTTTTCCATTTAAACCCCAAACTATGGTAAAACTTGCAATTTAACACTATGTAAAAAAATTCCACTATCTTCCTTGTGTTCCCCAAAATCTTTTTCTGAAGGGTCTGTAATTCCTCTGCAGTAAATATTATAAATGTATAGCCATAGAGTAAATCTTTACTCTCGCCTTTCCACAGATACAATCAGTAAGACAAGTTCTTGAAAATGATACCTGCATTAAATAAATTTTGTGTGAATAGATTAGATGCAATGGCAGTTTGAAAAAAGATGAATGCTGGTAGCTGGAAAGGAATTCTGGAGCAAAATATTTCTTATATGATTGTGAACCCCTGAAAGAATATGTGCATAACAGAAACATTTAATATGCAAAAGATTTGCAGGATGCAAAGAATTTACTGCATGCACTTACAAAATATCTGTTTTACGACTTCTATCTGTAGTTTTAAAGTACATTCTCTCCTGGCCTTTATTAGGCTTCTAATTTTAAACTTGGGAGATTTTAATATTTTATAATATTAAAAAATCATAATATAATATAAAAATCATAATATATATTTTTTGTAAAATCATAATAGACAGTTCTTGTTCTTTTAAATGCATTTGTTTCTAATTATTTTTTTACTTTATAGTATACTGCCCAGATAGCTTTGGCTGTTGGGTGGTTTAAATGTTTAAGTAAATAAAATGAACTTGATATTTAACCTGGGTATTTTTAAGATTTCTTTAGTGTAGTACTATACTATACTAAAATATATATAGTATTCATATTCATTCTGGAGCAGTGGCTCCTAGAGTAAGTTAATGTGGAAAGTCTGTGTGATGAACTAAAATGTATAAAGAATGTAATGCACAAGGACGTATCTGAAACAGTTATATATGCTAAAAAAATACATTGAATAGAAGAGAATACAGGTAGTCTTTGATACACAACAACAATTGGGCCCAGAATTTTGCTTATAATTTGGAGCAATCCTTAATCTGATTTGATTTTGCAGCTGTTTTTTATCACAATAATAAAGCAAGTCACTGCACAGCATATTTTTTCCTGTTTTCTGCTGGAAAACAGCTAAACCCATTACAAATTGTGTCCATATGATCATGGAAAGCAGCAACTGCAAATCTGCTGCCAAGCACCAAAATGTGTGCTTCATAGATCCTACAATCCCACTGTGAAAAAATATGAGAATGTCTAATGGGTGGGTTGATGAAAACATCCTATCCATAGCTACGTTATGCGGAGTAATTAAAAAAACTGCATCAGAAAATCGATACTTGTCCATTTGCAGTATGATAAAATATTTTGTATTGAAATATTGTAGGAGGTGGCTGTTTTGGACCTAGAAGAAAAATAAATAAATGTGATCGGCTGAATGTGATTTTTAAATATTTATCTATATGTATCTATTTTTATAGTATCAAGGATGAAGAGGAACAGATGTGCCCCATTTGTTTGCTAGGCATGTTGGATGAGGAAAGCTTAACCGTCTGTGAAGAAGGCTGCAGAAATAAACTTCACCATCACTGCATGTCAATATGTACGTCACTGATATTATTATGTGCACTTGAATCATAAGAATGGATTTAAGGAATAATAGCAAAGGCGGTCCTTGCCCAGGAGTGGAGAAACAAAAGTAATTGCAGTCATAAGTGGTACTGTAATTGCTTGAACGTTAATGGAATTCTTTTCATATAAGCTAGTGTCTTAGAGAAGAAATCCATTTGAATGAAATAAACATCTTTACAGAAATGTAAGGAAGCATGCTTTACACTTTTAAAATACAAGGGAGAGTAAAAATATATAAAACATAAAGAAAAGTTTTACTTATCTTTTAGAAATAACAAAGAGATACAGAAAGAGATCATTATTTAAGTGGGCAGTTAAAAGCCTATGTAGAACTGTCAAACATAAAGTCTGGTGTTGAATTTTTTTGTAAAGATCTGGTACTGCTAGTACCCACATTTGTACCTTTACTGCATATTATTCTTTAGACATGTGATTAAGTATATAATTAGCTTTCCCTATGTCTGTTTGTTGTACAGTATAAATTCTTTGTACATTTCCATATAACTTCTGTTCTAAAATATGTCCCTATGTTACTAACTCGAGAATCCTTCTATTTTTCTTTGTGGGATTTTGATGCAATTTTAGGGGCAGAGGAATGTAGAAGAAACAAGGAGCCCCTTATATGCCCTCTTTGTAGATCTAAGTGGAGAACACAGGATTTCTATAGGTGAGGATTTCTTTTATTTGAATTTGTTGTGTTGTCCATTTATGAGCAGAGTTAAACATCTAAACATTTGAAAAGCCTCGTCAGTCTGTTTTCAATTTAGGTTCGTTTATTATAAATGCCTGTGTATAAGCCCTTTCAATCACAGTTCAAAATCAGCTGGTATGTTTTTACAAGCTACAATAAAATATTGCTTCACCTGAATATACTTTTTAACAATAGATGCACGTTCATATTTTTCAGCTGAATTAAACCTTGAAGATAACAATGTTTTTATTTGCACATTATTTGGAGAAATTAAATTGTGACAAATTGATTAAAATGCAGCTCATGTTAAATCTTTGATTTTTTTAAAGTTTGAAAATATCCATTCATTATTTATTTATTTTTGTATATTATTTGTTTAGTCATGAATTGCCAAGCCCTGTTGATTCTCCTTCGATTGTTTGTGTGGTCCAGCAACAAACTCAGCAACCTGTAACTGGTTCACCAAGGAGGAATCAAGATAGCAATTTTAACCTTACTCATTATGGGGTTCAGCAAATTCCTTCTGCGTACAAGGATTTAGCTGAGCCATGGATTCAGGTATGCTAAATTTCTAAACCTACTATTTTTCTTTTGTCAGCTACAACTGAACACTTTTATTTCAGTCTGCATAAATATGTATGTTGCTGACTATATGCTTTTTGTTTTGTGAGTACCTGAGTTACATGTTAGTCGTTTTCCCCCAGAGTGCTTGCTTTTCCAGATTGTTACAAAATGAACAGCAAATGTCCATGGAAGATGTTTAGACAGTTACAAATCGTCCTTGACTTACAACTACAATTGGGACTGGAAATCCAGATGTAAATTGTTATAGTCATAAGTTGAGGCAGCCATGTGACTGGAAGGGTTTTTCTTAACATGTTCACTGCAAACTTGTTAAGTGAACACAATGGCCATTAAGTGAACACATTGATTCAAATGACATTTTATTTTTGTTAGAAACTGGCAAAAAAGACACATATTACAGTCATATGACCATGGAATGTTGTGACTGTGAAAAGGTGACCAGTTGCCAAACCCCTACATGCGGTCACATGACCATGGGGTAGGGCAACTTTTTACAATGGCTGGGTCAGAAAGCACCCATTCCATGATTGTCATAAATGTGAATGGTTGTTAAGTGACCAGTCATAAGTAATTTCTTCTAAGGCCGTCTGTTGAATGTCTGGATGTCCTTCATCTAGATGTGATATGAATAGCTGTTACGTTAGAGCCTTCTATCTTATAGCACCAAGAGTTAAACCTTACATTGTTTGTTTTCAGTTGCCAATTTTAAATTTATTTGACCTAAATTTATTTGATTTGCTTATTTGTTTGGTTCTTGCCTTCTCTTTCACGTGTACATGTGTATGTACCTGTAAATATGTAATTGAAATCAGGATCTCTTTGTAATATTGATTTTTTTTTTTAGGTATTTGGAATGGAATTAGTAGGTTGCCTGTTTTCTCGAAACTGGAATATACGTGAGATGGCCCTTCGACGTCTCTCCCATGATGTTAGTGGTGCTCTATTATTGGCTAATGGTGAAAGCACTGGAAATTCTGGAAGCAGCAGTGGAAACACCACAAGTCCTGGAACTCTAGGGGCAGCTAATGGGTCATCCCAGACAAATATCTCAGGAGATGTTGTTGTAGAATCCTGCTGCAGTGTACTTTCTATGGTTTGTGCTGACCCTGTCTACAAAGTGTATGTTGCTGCTTTAGTAAGTAATCTATTCTTTTCTAACTTTCCATTCCAAATCATACTCAAAATTTAGAAATAGGGCAGCATATTTGAGGTATGAATTCTTTACTTGAAACAGAGACCCTCCAAACAAATTATTAAAAACAATTCATAGTAATTCTAGAAATATTCCTTTTTCTGTTCTCAGCTCTGAAATGTATACATTTCCAGACAAATTAAGTTCTTCTAGAATATTTAACTTGAGGCTCAGGGTAAGCTCTCTCAGATAATAAAGGTAAAAGTAAAGGTTTCTCCTTTCCAGTAGTGCCCGAGGCCCAGAGGGTATGTGTGCTCATCTCTGTTTCTTAGCTGAGGGAGCTAGCGTTGTCCGAAGATATTTCAGTGGTCATGTGGCCAGCATGACTATTTGCCATATGCACAGAATGCTGTTACCTTCCCATCAAAGTGGTACCTATTCATCTACTTGTACTTGCATGCTTTCAAACTGCTTAGGTAGGCTGGGGCAAGTAATGGAAGCTTATCCTGTCAGACAGCGCTCGGTTCTCAAACTTCAGCGTCAAATCTCTGAGTTTGTAGTATGAGTTTCAGTGTCTTAACCGCCGAGACATCGCACCCCATTTTTCTCAGATAATAAGATAGCTTAAGCTCTGCCTTCTAGTGCAGGTGAGAAATAGGCCCATAGATAGTGCAACAGAATTCCGGAGTTTGTTCCATCAGATTCTGTATTCTGTTCATTTTTTCTTCTAGGTTAAATAATTTTACAGCAAGTTAGATCTAGAAATCAGGGTGCATACATCAAAGTTTTGATGCTATAATGCTAAATTTTCCATAATTATATATAATTTTAATGTGAAAATCATTTTAAGTCTACAGTATTTCCTTTTTTAGGGGCAAAAGTCAATATTGCCCTTATGACATCAGCTATGCTTGATATCTGGTTAAAGTTTTTTTTAAGGCAGTATAGAAAATAAACATTATTATTTGTTACTTTGCCAATTTCTTGAGACGCTTAAAAAATTTAAAATTTTGTTTAGAAAATTTTCTTCCTGTCCTCCTGGAATGGAAAGAGAACTGGTTTGATCCTCAGAATATTTCTTATTTTTTCTAATTATTTTTAGATTTTTTATTATTTTATTTTTTATATAATTATCTTATGGCCAGATTCAGACATCTGCTCAAAGTCATGCAATATTTTGAATAATTTCCATACCAACTTTTATATTATTTGTAGAGTGACTTGAGAAGTCCTGTGATATTTTTGCATGCTTATTGTTTTGCTTTTTCTGTGAAACACTAAACAATAAGAATTACTACTATAATCATCAAAGACTCACAGCAGCACCAAGTTTTCTATTTCCAAATTCTTAGTACAATATTTGAAGTACTCGCTGTGTAATATTGCTGAAACCAGTTCCTTAAATAAGTTGATTTTCAATGTTAAGCTGCATGTATATATGAAAGATAAATGTCACTACTTCCTTTTTACTTTAAATGTTCCTTACTTCTTGAATATGTCCTTAGTTTATCTATTTGGGAGCAGATTTCTCTAAAAAGTCTGAAAGCTGATAATTAGTTTTTTTCCTTTTCTGGTGGAGTCTTGTAACTTTGCCTTAGCTATACCCTTTCGTGTAGCAGATAATGTCAATATTTATTTGGAATCTCAGAAAAAGGAGCAAATTTTAAATGACAGAGAGGTGTATTTTACAATTGACAAATTTGTAGGCAGAAACAATTTGTGTGTAAAATGTTATTTGTACAAGTTGGTGTATTTTGTGTTCGTCTTTCGGTTGCAGAAATGTATGCAGGGTTTTAAGAAGTAGTGGATTTTTAAAATTTACATTCCATTTTTTTTGAAGAAAACATTAAGAGCCATGCTGGTATATACTCCCTGCCATAGCCTAACAGAGAGGAGCAAACTGCAGCAGCTTTTAAAACCAGTTGTGGAAACCATATTGGTGAAATGTGCAGATCCCAACAGGTATAGGCTTTAATCTATTTAAATATTTTAGATTGCTGTCTTTAAAATTGTCTATATTAGTTTTATAGTATTGGGCCACATTCAAGGGCAATTTAGCCATTGGTAGATTTGCATGCATATTTGTGCTGAAAAAGTGAAAATTGTTACAAAAAAATAAATAAACTAGAAAGAAGTAATACGTTAGCTATGTTACCTAATACGGTACTGATATATTACATTATTTTTTTCTGTAGGCATTATTACTAATAAATACTAATAAACCAGGAATGACAAGTTCATGTAGTCCTCATGTAGTCCTCAATGTATGACTGCAACTATGAGCAAAAGAGTCATTAAGTGAGATGTCATGTGACTGCTTTGTTTAATGTCTGTAATCCTGGCATGGTGTGATTGTTCAGCAGTCTAATGGATCTTAACAAAATGAATTACTTTGTTAAGAGGACAGTAACAATTACTTATAATGTGTTCAGTCAGCTCTAATTATTCATCCTTTTATCTTAAAAAATAGAGCCTTCTTCTTCTTTTTACAGCCGCACAAGTCAACTTTCAGTTTCAACGTTGATGGAGATGTGTAAAGGTCAAGCGGGAGAGTTGGCAATTGGTCGAGAAATACTTAAATCTGGTAAACTTCATTTTTTTCTTACTTAAGCAATATTACCAGTATAGTATAGCAGTTAATAGCACTGGACTAGAAGACTGACGCTGGGAGTTCTAGTCCCACTTTAGGTATGAAGCCAACTAGGTATCTTTGGTTAGTCAATTTCTTTCAGCCCTACAAAGAAGGCTATAACAAACTGCTTCAGAAAATGTTGCCAATAAAACTTCATGAATTTATCCATGTAGACACCAAATGGATTTAAGGAATACTATATAGGAACTACTTCCTAGAGATGTATGTAGCCTGCAGCAATTTCAGATTTGTTTTGAATTTTTTGTTTAAAATATGTATATACATATAAATCTACCAAATCTATTTGAAACTGCAATTTATTTCAACACATAAAATCAATTCGGCATTTTATTTTGGTGGTGTAATATTTCTACAGCTCTGTTATTTCTTTCCACCTAAATCAAATTTCACTTAGGATTTTGAGATTAACAGTAAGATGGGATGAATATTATAAATACTTAAAACTTTGATTGGAATTAGAGAATCTGGCAGTAAGAAGGGCTGGACATAATTTTTATATCAAGTAAAGAATAAAGAGTTAGCTATTTTAATTCTTCAAAATGCTGTTTGTAAAAATCCCAATGTAATAGTATTTGAGTGGCTCAGATATTTGCAAGGTATATTAAGAAATGAAATAAAGCATAGGGTACATTGCTGTCACTAAAGAGAATTCATAGCAGGAATAGATAAAAATAAAGATGAAAAAAGTAAAAAAGAATAGAGTTTCTCCTAAAGAGAAGAAAAAAGAAAAATATACAAGAAGCATTTTGTACCTCTGCATAACATGGAACTTAGGAAATAGTATGTTGGTAATTGCAAACGTAACAAACTAGTTTGAAATGGAAGATGTAAGAGGCTACAAATATTGTGCAGGAAAAAAAAAACTACAAAAGGAGAGGCCAATAGCCATGAAGTACTCACTCTGACCCTCCTTCCTTCACCAGATTGTTGCTATATAGGAAAACAGGAGAAGAGAGAAACAGAAAAAAGTGGGATAAAAATGTAGCAAATAAATAAGTAATGTACTGATTTTGAATACAGTAAATAAAAAATAACTGATGGAGAAAATAAAATCTTGTGGGAATGGATACTGCTCAAAGAATAATAGAATTAGTAAAGGGGCAGAAGAATTTGGAATAAGAATCAGAAAAGAAAAATAAGTATAAAACAAGTAATATAATTCAGTGGAGATAATTGAGGAACTTTATTTGTATGTCTATGTAACCTTGTGGGAATTTTAAACAATGGTAATACTAAAATTCGGAGTGATTATATCTGGATTTATTGAATTCTTTACTGAATGAATAGCTTTTTAATGTTTTCCTCTCTTTAATATGTGATGAATCATAGCATTAATCCTTACAATGACATTTGTATCTTTGAAATAGTTATGCAATGATTAACTCTATATGCAAGGTTCCATCAGAAGGAATGGCAATATGGATACATTCAAATACATCTGATATATTTTATTTTGAGAAGGAGAATTCTGCTTATTAAACTTTTTTTTAAAAAAAACAGTGAATTCAGAAACTCAGAATTAGTTACAACAACTGGGATTAAAACTGGGTAAAACACCTTTATGTGTAGGAAACTGGCTTATAAGAGATGCCAACCGCCAGTTCAAATAATATAATTCCATTAATTATTTAATCTTTTATTGCAGGGTCCATTGGCATTGGGGGCATTGATTTTGTCTTAAATTGCATCCTTGGGACACAATCTGAACCAAACAACTGGCAAGCATTACTTGGACGTCTTTGTCTTATAGATCGATTGCTGTTAGAATTTCCTGGTGAATTTTATCCCCACATTGTTAGTGGAGATATTTTACAAGCTGATGCTATCATTGACAGGTAATAATTTAGAAAAACTTGCTTTTTAAAAAGTTGGTCTTTAGTATCAAAATGCTAGTTGGTTTAGAAAGCCTTATTTTAAAATCTGTCTTTTTTCTCTTGAAATGCTGATGTTTTTTTAAAAGGTATCTCAGAAAAATAAGTGGAAATTAACAGCCTTGTGTTCATTTTTAGGTATGAAAAGCTGTTATCTCTACTGAGCTTTGCGCTCCAGTCAATTGACAACTCCCATTCGATGGTGGGCAAATTGTCCCGGAGAATATTTTTAAGTGCTGCCAGAATGGTTGCAAGAGTACCCCAAGTATTTGTAAAGCTGTTAGAAATGTTGAGCATGACAAGCTCAATACATCATACAAGAATGCGTCGGCGATTGATGGCTATAGCAGACGAAATGGAAATTGCAGAAGCCATCCAGTTAGGCATGGAGCAGATGCATTCTGGAGAATGCAGGCATGAATTTGCACAGCCTCCAGTTCCTGATAACTCTCCAGAGACGACGGAGAATTGTACTCCAAGTAACACAATTCAGTTAACAGGTAAAAGTGGGAAAGGACTAGATAACAAAAAGCGAACTGCTATGCCGGAGGAGTTTTCTGACATGGTGGCTGGTATTTCATTGGGACTTCCTATTACGGCAGGAACAACGGAACAACCAAAGCCAGCCATTCACACAAAAAGCAGATCCCCTGGTCAATGCTTGAACTCTTCTCTCTCACCCTGTCATTCTCAAACCATATTCCCCATTTTGCCTTCCCCCTCTACCCCATCTGCCCCTGCAGGAACTGATATTCCTAAACTCAGATCTCAGGGATTTGTTCCCTGTAAAATACCTTCAGCTTCTCCTCAAATGCAGCGGAAGCTCTCTCTCCCGATTCAAAGAAACTGTGCTGAACAAAAAGAATTGGAAAAGCTTTCCCCTGTTTTTACCCAGGCCAGGCCTCTGCCATTCAGTCATATACACAGGCCAAAGCCATCTCGACCTAAACCATGTGATATGAATAAACAGGGAGAAACCTCCCAAAAAAGCATGTCGCTCAATTTAAATGACATATCACAGTGTGATAATAGTATTAGTACAGCTATACCAAGTGAAGAGACTGTTTTCACCCCAGTGGAAGAAAAACATAGCCAGCTGGATATAAATGCAGAACTCAGTTCTAGTATGGAAGACTTACTTGAAGCTCCAGCCAATGACGGAACTGTCACATTCAAGTCTGAAGTGGCTGTCTTGTCTCCTGAGCGTGCAGAAAATGATAACACATATAAAGACGATGTGAATCATAATCAGAAATGCAAGGAAAAGATGGAAGCTGAAGAAGAGGAAGCTTTAGCTATTGCCATGGCCATGTCAGCATCTCAGGATGCTCTCCCAATAGTTCCTCAGCTTCAAGTTGAAAATGGTGAAGATATCATAATTATTCAACAGGATGTGAGTATTTGAGGTTTTGCTATTTATTAGTGTGACTACGGTATTGCACAATGCATTTCTGGTGGCATTTTGAAGATAAATTGACTGCCTCTAAATGTAGCACTATTTGTAGTGATAATCACAATCAGTGCAAGGTTTTGTGGAAATCACTATTGAAAGTTCTAAGAAAGACTGCAGTAGAAAATGCAATGTACCTTTTTTAAATAAGTGTATGGATTAAAGATAAATGACATTCATGCATTTATTCATTTGTTTATTCTTTTATTCCCAATCAAGTGCAACAGTCGCTCCTGATGATGTGCAACAATTCTAAGCAATTAAAGCACCCATAGCAATAAAATTATTCATAAATTATTCACAGTAAAAATTCCAAATAAATTAATGTGCTGGACCAACAATAGGTCCAAATACTATTCTTTTATTAAATTGGATTACATTTAAAATTGATCCTTCATGATAAGGTGGACAAAAATATCAAATGCAGACGAATTATTTGGCTGACTGTTGGACCAACCATAATATATATAATTTATATGCCACTCAATTCCCAGCAACTCTGATTGCTCCTCAAAAGAAAACAAAATCTGGAGGAATTTTGGTGTGTTTTTACAGCAAGTAGGACAAGGCAGTTGTATATTGTCCCCTCAGTACTGATCAGCATGCCTCCAACATCTTTCCTTCTCTTCCCTGCCTTCATTTCTCTATCCTAGTGCAGCATATCCCACTCCTTGATCTTCCCAGCATCTTCTCCTCTCAGCTGCAGCTCTTATCTATATCCCTATTTCAATCAGTACGTAGACGAAAATGCTCTACATGTGCATTTTGGTTTGGGTTCACACCAAGCCAAAATCAAACATGTATTTTGTGCACAGAATGTGTTGCACACCTCTACTAGTTAACAACCAAAATTTTATGTATTCTTCGTTAGTTTGATTACTTAAATAGTTCAGTCACTAAATCTGGGATTTATTTTGGGGAATAAGAATGAGAAGCTTATGCCTATTTTGTTCATGTTACAGTGAAGCAGTATTTGATTTCTTGGCTGCTATGATCTCTAGACATTTCCAGGCACCCTACCCCAGTTAATAGAACGCAGGTGTTTATGACTGAATGTGTTCTAGTTTGTGAGAGACATGCATGGTGTGAGTTCTAAATGTAGGATGATCATCTCATTTATCTTAGATACTTACTGTGCTCTATTTTATCGAAATATGACTGTATATGTCAGGAAGGCTCATATTTGAGCCTCTGGGGGACAGAACGTTAGAAGCTGCCCAGGAGTGGGATTCAAAAATCCCAGCAACCGGTTCACTGCCCTGTTGCTGGGTGGGCGTGGCCTACCAGAACTCCTGGGAGGACCATTTTTCGCCTTCCCAAGGGTCCAGAGGCTTTCCTTGGGCCTCTTGGAGGGCTAAAACAGCCTCCCCCAGGCTCAGGAGGCCCTCCGGAAGCCAGAAACAGGCCCACTTCCGACACTTCCGGAAGGCCCATATTTCCCCCTTCCAGAGCCTCTGTGCAGACCCCGCACTTACCTGCATCAAAAATGGGCTGCGTGGAGACTCCTGGGAGGGGAGGGGCAGGGTGGTCAGGGCCAGCCGGTTGGTTCAAATACCGGTTCGGTGAACCAGATGCAAATTTAACATCTGGTTTGCCTGAACCAGTAGAATCTCACCCCGAGGCTGCCAGAGTTTGTTTGTTTATAACGTTATTTATATCCACAAACATGCATCCAACCAATCACAAATCACATCAGTTTCTAAATCACTGTATGATTATCACCATTATAGCCTTATACCAGAGTACCAGAATATGAATAGCAATAGCACTTAGACTTATATACCGCTTTATAGTGCTTTACAGCCCTCTCTAAGCAGTTTACAGAGTCAGCATATTACCCCCAACAATCTGGGTCCTCATTTTATCCACCTCAGAAGGATGGAAGGCTGAGTCAACCTTGAGCCTGGTGGGATTTGAACTGCCAAAATGTAGGCAGCTGGCTGCAGAAGTATCTTGCAGTACTGCACTCTAACCACTGTGCCACAGGGGCTCCTCAGGCAACACTTCACCAGAACTTGCTATGTCTGTTGAACTTTGTCACCTAGACCAAGGGGTCCCAAACTTGAGTCACCTAGGGGTCTGAAACCCCAGGGCCACAGCCTACTACCAGGTTGTGGCCTGTTTGAAACCAGGCCGTGGGATGAATGGACAATCGTGCCTATGTGAAACTCCACTTGTACACATGGCAGGCACTTGTGATCGCACACAAAGCTCCATTTGTATGAGCAAAGGGCACTTGCGCTCACATGCAAAAGCACCCTCCACTTACACTTTTATTCATGTGAGTGCATGTGTGCACCTGCCACTTACATGTTCTCCCCTCCCCCCACTTCAAGCTGGAAAGGTTGGGACTGCTGACCTATATTTTCTGAAAATACCCCCACCCCCCCGGGGTGGAGGGCAGTGAATTGGAAGCCCTTCTTCATGGCAGCCCCCACTCTTTGGATGGAACAATTCCCCCAGATATACATTCAATAGCTATTCTGTAAAGAAACTATTTAGAGCTGTTTTATTTCAGTGTGGTTTTTTTTCCAGTGAATGGTAGTGTCTATTACAATGAATTTACTTGAAGTTTTGTATTGTTTATCATTTATCTTTGAATGCCTGCCATAGTCATTTGGGAATGGGGCAGGCAGGTTATAAACAAATTAAGTATATACCAGTATGCAGAAAGTCTGTAAACCGATCCTAAAAATTGGTTATTTTTTTCTTTAAATTGTTGGGTGGGGCAGGTCTCAATTGGACAACCTGTGAGCTTTAAGAAATTCTTATGCTGTTTGTGTATTCTAAATAGAGGCTTCATGTGTTTGTTTTAAGAAAACATTAATCCTTTTTCCACCTAAATTTCAAAGGATAACATTATCATATCTTTTATTTAATTTGCAGACACCAGAAACCCTGCCTGGGCATACCAAAGCAAAGCACCATTATAGGGAAGACAATGAATGGCTTAAAGGTCAACAGATAGGCCTTGGAGCTTTTTCTTCTTGCTATCAAGCTCAGGATGTTGGCACTGGGACGTTAATGGCAGTGAAACAGGTAAAAGGATGCTCATGAATATTTTGAAAGCGTTTGCTAAAGGAATATTTGGAAAATAACGTTAAGAAGTGCAGAGCAGGCTCAACATATATACTGTGTTTCTCACAAAATAAGGCCGGGCCTTATTTTTTTTTGAGCCCCCAAAAAACGGCTAGGACGTCTTTTCGGGGGTGAATTAATTTCTCCCTCCACCCCGTGCACCAGCACCGTCTCCAACAACAGCGTCTGAGTTGCTCCCGCTTTCCCCCCGTCCCCGTAACAACAGGAAAAAAAAGATTTTGAGGTACCTGGGAGCACCGCATGCTGTGTTTTGGCTTAATCCCGAGCAACTGGGTGGGTGTGAGAAGAGCCAAGTGAGCATCTCTGCTGCTGCTACCCTTGGTGCTCCAGTCTCAGGCTCTGCAAGTTTTCAAAAGTCCCGGTGTGCAGCTCATTCCTGCATTCCAAGTGCCCAGGCCGAGCTGCAGCTGTCCCTCTCTCGCCAGCACTGTCTCCAATAATAGTGGCAGCCGCGGCGGGAACCGTGGAAGTTATGGAGGTGGATCCCCCACCCGAGAAGCAGCTACAACGCTTCCACGGTTCCCGCCGCTGCTGCCGCTGTTATTGGAGACAGCGCTGGCGAGAGAGGGACAGCTGCAGCTCAGCCTGAGCGCTTGGAATGCAGGAACGGGCTGTGCACCAGGACTTTTGCAAACTTGCAGAGCTCGAGGCTGGAGCACCAAGGGTAGCAGCAGCAAAGACGCTCGCTTGGCTCTTCTCACGCCCACCCAGCCGCTTGGGATTAAACCAAAACACAGCGCGCGGCACTCCCAGGTACCTCAAAATCTTTTCCTGTTGGGACAGGGGAGGGGAAGTGGGAGCAACTCAGATGCTGTTGTTGGAGACGGTGCTGGCAAGAGAGGCGCCAGCACCGGTGGGAACCATGGAAGGTACAGAGAACTGAGAAGCAGCTGAAACGCTGCCAGACATCCACGCCAATGCTGCCTGCCTGCTGACCCGGGTAAGGGAGCCTTCCGTGCTCCACCATGGTGTTAGGAGCGGCTGATGGTGAGGTGTAGCTGCCCGCAGGGCGCTCCTAATGGCAAGTTCCCCCCTGCCTTCCCCCCCCCCAATTTCACATGTTTTAAACTAGGCCTATCAAATTTGGGGGGAGGGGCTTAATTTCATTTTATGCCTAGAAAACATGCTGGGTCTTCCTATTGGGTGTGTGTGTATTGTTGGAGAAACACGGTAGAAGTATTTTATCATTAAACGATCATTTTTTTCCTTCTGTGGATTTATGAAATTCCTTTTTAAAAATAATCATTCTAATGAAAAAAGATTGCATTGTATAGTTTCTCATTGGTCTTTTAAGATCATGGATAGTATTTGTTCTTTTTAGTACTGTTCAGGTGTTTGAATATTAAAAATTAGGCTGGAAACTATTAGCTGAAAGACTAGATTTTGAGATGAACTGAAAAAAAGCCAACTTGTTTCTCTGCTGTTTTACAAATTGTTTGGATTTGGTTTTTACTTCACTAATACGGCCATCTCATGTGAAGCATTCTGCCAGAATTCAGGCAGTCCTTGCTTAATGACCAATTGTTTAATGGCTGTTTGAAGTTATGACTATCGCAACAAAAAAGTTATGGCCCAGTCTCAAAATTAAGACTGCTGCTACACCCCCCACCCCCGCAATCATACAAATTGTTGCATTGCAACTGCCATGCATTTATGAATGATTGCAATGTCTCATTGTTATATGAGCATAATTTGTGGTCCTTTTTGCCATTTTCCAAAGGAAAAACAGTCATAAAATCAAGTCAGGTCATATGTTGATCTACTTAACAACAAGCAAAATGACATACAGCCAAAATTCCAGGCTCAATTTTGGTCATAAGTCAAGGGCTACATGTATTGTTTTATCATAGTGCTACAAGAATTATTTTGATTTATTTTTCCCTTCCCTTCCCTTGCAGATCCCACAAATATTTCTCCGTTGTTCTTGATGTCCCTCTAACAATCAAAGCCTATACCAGTATATTGTTCTCCTATTTGTTGCAAATTGGGGAGGACCATTAGTAGGGTGTAGAATTGATTGATATTGCCATCTTTTTGATCTGTTGGAAGCACTTGTTGAATTTTTATGACTTTATAATGGGATGCATAACATTGTTTCAGTATCATAATATACAATTTTTTCACTGCATTCACCAAGAAGTGGTTTAACTATGTAAAGAGTTACTTGGAGTTCCTCTGGGGAAAGAAGTATATACAATTTATTTGAATATTGTCCCAATAAAATATTAATAACAGCAGCAAAAATAGCAGGTATTCGGATTTGTTTTATATATACTGTACAGCTATACAACTTTTTTTAGTCCAAAGGTTGCACTCATTCTTTCAGTGACATTCAAAAAGTGATGTGTGAGACTAGGATAAAATTAAATATAATTTTAAAAAATTCCTTCAAATGATTGCTCTTTATACACACATATACAAGTTATATGCGCATATTCCCTTTTCTTTCACAGTAAAATTACAATCTGGCAACAATTCTGGAAGCCTCTAGGAACCTCATGTAATCCCCAAGTGCACATTCTGCACTTTGACCTAGTGATATCACACGGGATATCATACTTTGAATCTTTTCCTTCAGATAGTTCAGCATGGAACCTTATCTACTTACAACAGTGACAGTTGCTATTTTTCTTGCTAATGGAATTGTTGAATCAAAAGCTGTCATGTTTTATGAAACAGGTAACATATGTCAGGAATACATCATCTGAGCAGGAAGAAGTGGTGGAAGCCCTAAGAGAAGAGATAAGAATGATGGGCCATTTGAATCACCCCAATATCATTCGAATGTTGGGTGCTACATGTGAGAAAAGCAACTACAACCTATTTATAGAATGGATGGCAGGTATGTATGCCAAAATGTATCTCTTAATAAGTGTCTCCCACTCTGTGGCACTAGAATTAAGTTTAGGGTTTTCTCATTGAATTCTGGGTCTGTGTCAGCCACACCAGGTAGGCTAGTCCAAGAATCAACTTCTCAGGAAGGATAAAACTACTTTTATTGGGCTTGGCTACAATAACAGAATCTTGCAAATCTAATTGTGCTGTATCTCCTGTTCTTATAAACGTGGGGTGGGTGTGTGCCTAGCCTCTTCCACATACTTTCTGCTTGCTATGGATTTAATATCTTAAGAGCCATGGTGGCTCTTAATATATTAATACCATAATATCTAATATCCTAAGAGCTGCGGTGGCTCAGTGGTTAGAATGCCGTACTGCAGGCTACTTCTGCTGACTGCCGGCTGACTGCAGTTTGGCATCTCGAATATCATCAGGCTGAAGGTTGACTCAGCTTGCCATTCTTCCGAGGTCAGTAAAAATGAGGACCCAGATTGTTGGGGGCAATAGGCTGACTCTATAAACCACTTAGAGAGGGCTGTAAAGAAGTGAAAGTGGTATATAAGTCTGCTATTGTTATCTTAAAGTTTTAAATAATTTTGGATTGGGATTTCTCAAAAAGTCATCTCATCCCATATGTAGGAGGGCAGCATTGTTTTGGACAATAGTTGCTTTCATCATTTTTTATTTATATTTCACATTTCCAGGTCTCTCAATTTCAATGATTCTGGGCAGTTGAACATACAAGTAAAAATTAAAAAATAAAACCCCCAAACTAGTGCCAGACCGAAACTTTATTTTGTTCATTGACCAATTAAAATATGTTCAATAAAACAAACAAGCAAAATTAACCCCTTGCATCAAAATTTATACATGTTTCAGACACCCAACTCCCCTATTACGCTTAGTCAAGACCTGGGCAAAGAGCCTATTTCTATTTTATTCAACTTTTGTAGCCGCCCATGTCAATCCAATTGAGTAATGCTCATTTGAAGGCCTATAAGGTGGACAATCATTCTAAGGGAATGCTGTTTAGGAAAGCCGATGCTGCAAGAGAGAAGGCCCACTTCCTGTGACATTCTTGATTGAAGAGGCCAGGAGCAAGCTGACTCTGTTCAATCTTACAGAATGGACAGAATTGGACTGTTTGGCACTTAAATCTTGATGAGAATTCCTTAAATTAATATTTTGCAACAGGAATCTATTTTGCTTTCTTGCTTATGTTATGTGTTATTAAATATAACTTAAATGAAAAATTATTTTTGTTCTTATTTCTTTTAGGCTGGGTAAAACTTTTAGATGATTACTTTCTGCAATTGTTTGCCTCCCCCTCAGGCTTTTAGTTATAATGCTCTTAATTGGGCATTTCTCAGCCTCAGTGGAATGACTTTCAGGGTGGAGGGACTGGCAAGCAGAGGAGAGGGAAGTAAATAAGTTACCGTAAACATATATGTTGATTCATCATTAAATAATGTATGTGACCAGCAATGTGATGAGTGTGGAGTGTTGCAATGTGGAACAGTAAACATACAAAATACATCTATTTATCAATGAAGAAGAATATTTGGAATAGAAATAGCCATCTTTAAAACCTTCAGGCTGAACAGTGGGCAAAATAGTGCAGCTTAGGGCTATGCCGAGACTATCCCACAAACACTGAGCACTATTATTAAAACAAGCATGTTTTCAGGATATTTTGATATAGAAATGTCAAAGGTTTTGTCACATTATCTCTGTGTGCATATACATATATAGATACTTTTCATTATTCGTGGTACTGGGAAAATTTGTCTATGACAGAGACACTCAAACAGGGTATGGTAAAACTTTCATAACAGTTGTATTGAGAGTTCTTGAAGATTCTGCCTCTATATTTCAAGGAAAGGTGTTTTGTGAAGATTATATAACGCTAAATTTTATTGTCCCATTCTTAGTAAGTAAATTATTAATACAATATGAAATATGTTATAAAACAATCACATATAAATATAAGGAAGCCAAAGAAAATTCATTGAAAGCCCTTAGAATTCATTTCCTGCCCTGTAGATCAAATTTTGCATCTGATTCAAATTGTTGTTTTCAAATAGTCAACCTAAATTGATAAAATATACTCCTGTTTTTCAGGAGGATCTGTTGCTCATTTGTTAGGTAAATATGGAGCCTTTAAAGAGCCTGTAGTTGCCAACTACACAGAACAGTTGCTTCGTGGCCTGGCTTACCTTCATGAAAATCAGATCATTCACAGAGATGTCAAAGGTAAGATCAATGTTACTATAACTGGACATATACGCATTGCCAATCAATGAGCCATCTAATGGAAATAATTATTTTTGGTTCATTCATCACTAGTTTCATTCTTTAAATTGTTGGTATATACCTGGATAATGATAGACAGACAGATAAATAGGTAGTAGGTAGGTAGGTAGGTAGAGCTCTGACTTGCCATCCACAGAGAACTTGCTTAGAAATGAAAGAAAGAGTCACTTTATATTTTTTTAATATTTCAAGAGCTATTGGATACCTACTTTAGTTTTTTTAGTTTTAATATTCTGTTTGTGTTCTGAAAACAAAATATATGTTGCTTTCTTACTATTTCTTTTAACTTAGAAATCATAATAAAATTTGGGAACATCTCTAATAGACCTATGCAACAGCAGTAAAAAAAAGCCTTTAGTCTATAACTATTCAAGTACCCAGATTGTTATTCTGTCCTTTGATTCTAATTTATTGTGCAGTCTGTTATTATTATGCTAACTTTTATATATATAATTCAACAATGTAGACTGCAGCATATATTTACAATTACCCCTGAATTTATTTTATTGAATTAAGAAAAATAGTTCATTTTTTTCATTTTCTACCACAAGTGTATTTGCATTTCTTTCATCACTTAATTGCATTTCTAATAATGCCAACAGGTGCCAACTTGTTAATTGATAGCACAGGTCATAGGCTAAGAATTGCTGATTTTGGAGCTGCAGCTAGATTGGCATCAAAGGGAACTGGTGCTGGAGAATTTCAAGGACAGTTATTGGGGACTATTGCATTTATGGCACCAGAGGTAAGATTTCATCTTGGGAAAAGGGATATTAACAACTTTTAACTTAACCTTTCTTTAATTCCATGAAACACTAATTTGGGAGGGTCCATGAATATGAGAAGAGCCTTATTTAATCAAGTCAAAATCCAATTCTATGTAGGCCAACTAGCCACCTATTTCAAAGAAACACACAAGAACTGATTGAAATAGTTTTTGCCCTCTCAATATTCAGAGTTTGATTGACTTTGAATAATTTAACATTTATCTATCACCTATGGCAGAGGTGGGGAACATGGCTGGCTCAGGAATTCTGGGACTTGAAGTCCACAAGTCATAAACAGGCCATCATTTTTCATCCTTGACCTAAGAATCAGGATATAATCTAAAGACATATACTTAATTTGTAGGGCAATGACAGCCACAATCATATCCCGATACCCTTGCTCTGTTTTTTCTTAACTTGAAATAGTTAATGAACTTGTCGCCATAGTAATATGAAATGATGACCCAAATCAGGAAATTGCATCTATATTTTCAATCATTTATCTGATACCTTCTCTCCTGTATGTAGATACAAGGTTCTTTCATTATTAGTTTGACAAGCATCTTCCCCATTGCAATATTAGTGGACCAGCCTGATTTGTGACTATCCTTTAAGAACAAGTTACAAGTGAGCAATGTTGCTCATGTTTTAAGAAACATTGTTTTGGAAATAAATAGCAAAATACCTTGACTTGTCTGCTCTAATAGCACTGGCATTTTCTTTCTTTGCTGTCAAACAGAGTTTATGTTAGACAGCTGCTCTTAAACAAAGAATTGCTAAAAATACATAAATGATTGATGCACTTTAGGAACCACAAATAGTTCTCCATTTCCACATTCTCTTCAAAGCAAGTTAATGGGGCTACTGGTCTCACATGAACAAGTATTTAATTTTCATGGGAATTCTAAAATATAGCAAAAGCTGAAGAAAATCTATAAAATTGACATTTATGCTCTGATTTGGAATTTGCAAGTGTTAATTGTAAGAGTAATATTTTCAGGAACAGTGTTTTATGAATACTGAAATAAAGCAATCTGTCGTGACATTTTATGATGGCATCCTACTATTTTAGGCTCATCTCATGATAAAGCATTCTATACTTTTTTTAAAAAAGGTGTTCAATTGATGAATCAAAGTTACTCATTTATTTTTCCCCTCTTAGGTGTTGAGAGGCCAACAGTATGGCAGGAGCTGTGATGTGTGGAGTGTTGGCTGTGCTATTATAGAAATGGCTTGCGCTAAGCCCCCCTGGAACGCAGAGAAACATTCCAATCATCTTGCTTTGATATTTAAGGTAAAATGATCCATAAGAGAAAACGTGTAAAGCCTATAGTTGAGGAAATGCACTAAGAACTTCTTCCATTCAAAGGCCACTGACATGCCCAGGAGTGCAGTGTAAATTTGTCATTAGAACTTGAGAGGAAAGGATTTTTCAGCAGATAGCTGGATTAGGCTAAATGATATTTGTGCACATAAACAGGAAGTGAAGAACATGATATATCCTTTTCAAAGGATGATTAGGGATCTCTTATATTTTGAAAGCATTCTTTCAGTTTGAGGGGAAAAAATGTAATAGCCACATTATATGCAGGGTATTCCAATTTATTATTTTATTTCCAAAGGGGTATGAATAAATTCCAGTAGTTTAAAAAATAGCAGTTAAAAAGAAAAAGAAAAGAAAAACAGAAGAAATATGTTTTCCTTCCTTCCTGCCTACTGTGTCTCAGGGATTAATTACTGAACAGTTTGAAAATCTGTTGCAAAGTATACAGATATTCTCCACCATAGACACATGTATTTATAGTGTCAATATATAGTCAATTCTCATGATTTTCGGTAGTTCTGTTCTACAAGTTGCCACAGACTTTGAAGTTGTTGATACTGAAACCCCACCTGGGAATGTGTGTGTAAACAACTCAATTTTTTTCTGTTTTGCATATCCATAAATGATTGCAAAAGACCCAAACGCTTGATTTTGTTGTTACAAATAAATTTTAGAAAGTAGGCAAATTCATAAATATGGAATCTACAAATAACGAGAATCAACTGTGCTAATCTGTTGTTTTGGGCTTTTTGTGTAATAATTATTTTCTGTTTAATTGTAGATTGCTAGTGCAACTACAGCTCCAACAATCCCACTGCATTTGACTCCAGGCTTAAGGGATGTGGCACTTCGATGTTTGGAGCTCCAACCTCAGGACAGACCCCCAGCAAGGGAGTTGTTAAAACACCCAGTCTTTCGCACTATGTGGTAGTTGTAGAAACCTGGGGGTACACTGAACTTGATGCTACTGAAACTATAAAGTGCTGGTCTTCCTGTGCAGGTTAGCATGGCAATGTGTATTAATTGCTCTGCCAGCCTTAATTATATGTTTTGAGGACTTGAGGACAGTAGAGGACCTATATGTATGTGACTGACAAATCAAGATCTTGACATAAGTTCAATATGTAACATTTCACAAATTGTGCAGAAATATGTAAACTGTGCCTTTCTCAAAGATGTTTCTGTTCATGAACAGAGAAGCAATTCTTCTTTTAGATCTGCATGATTATTTAGTGGAAAACGTGATTTTTTTTAAAAAAAAACCTATTTCTTCAGAGATATTAGCAGTTGAGTGGCTAAAGAGCCATTTAAAAATGCATCACTATTTTTTTTTTCAGTACATGCAAATTTCAACAATCCATTTTCAAGAAAGTTCATGTCTACATTATGGTGAAGCTTGTTCTTTATGTGGAAAAGGAAAATTTGGATAGTTTTAAAATCACCTTTGCCTGCTTTAGAGTCACTAAGTATGGCAGATGTCATTCATTTACTTACTATTAGTCCTGTAACTGTCCTTTGGAAGTTACCACTGTGTAGTTTCATTTTATATTTTCTTCACATTCAGGGAAAAATGTTTTTAAAAGAAACCCAAATAGCTAGAATTAAGTTCAAGCTAAATATTGCTGGACAGCTTACTGTAAAAGAATATGGTTAAAATTGGTTTGAAACCTGCAATAAAATGCTGCCCTTGAGTCAGTGTTTTTAACAAGATGTGTTATTGGGGTAGGAGTGCACAAGTTTTTTTGAATAACAGAACTTCATAGCCAAGGACCAAGTGAATGTTCTGTTTTGAAGCCCTTTTTAATATCACAGCTCATGGTAAAATTGTGGTAGAAAGGAGTATTGTGTCATACTGCCTTCTGATACCCAACTTCTATTCTATTTAAAGCTGAAGCTTTAAATTCAGCCTTACTCTTAGCATTGCATTATGTTTGCTGTTTTTCCTGCTGTTTTCCTTATGCCATTTGTCATCTTTTTACTGGGGCTGTGTTCTGATTTGGCGTGAACCCATTCAGATAAGGAGAAATACATCATGGGCACTTACTTGTAAAGAGCCAAACCTGAAACCCCCAAGAGCAGTTTCTACAAACTGTGACTTTATCCTCAGAATAATAGCCTTTCCCGAAAATAGAATCCTATTTTGATTAAAACAAAAAACAGGACAAGACACTCTTGCTTATTTAGGTGTCTTCTCTTAATAACAAATGGAGAGGTTCCAAAAATGGGAATGAGTCAGTGGGCATGACATCATAGCAATACAGGACAGACGAGACAACTTGTCTCATAACAAGCTGACCTTGTGGCCTTGAAGCATGATCCTTGCACAGCCCCATCATTTACAGTTTGGATTATGGCAGGGTGGAAATATGAAAAATAAATACATAATAGTTGATAATTAAGTTATTGGGAACTATTTTTTAAAATGGAAAAGAGCCATTGAAAAACTTACTCAATGAAATTAAACAGCCTTGAAGAAATATTTTTGCATGAAGGATGCAGAACATCTTTTTAACAAATGTGTCATTGATTATTTCAATGGCAGGTTTTTAAATTCTGATGAATGGAATATTGAAGGAAAATGGCAGCTCTTCTTTTACTTTCTGACAATTTTTTTGAAGTAAAGTTTTGACTGTGTTTAATCAACTTTTGTTAAAATAACTGTTCCAATTTTAACTCTTCAGAAGCCAGTTGAAATATTGATCAGAAATTATGATCAAATTATGCTCAAAGGCTCAGGACAAACTTGATAAGCTATAATACTGTACAATTTAGGCAATGTACAATTTTTAAAAATTGGAAACAAAGTTAATAGAGGTTTACACAATGACCATGCTAAAGTTAATCAAGAGCAATGTCATTAATGGTGGATGTGTATTTCTTCTTGAAATGTTACATTCCTTTGCTTTTTTTATTATTGGGAGACTTTGAAGAGTTAAAAAAATCTAAATGTGAAGTTTTGTAGCTTTGTTTGTATTTGACTTGTTTCTTGACAGTTTAGAATTTGTCTTTATTCCAATCATATTTGTTTTTAAGTCTCTTCTGTGCAAGCTTTAAAGGATGCATTCTTGCCAACTCATGTACTGGAAGATCGCTTGTCAGATAAATACCACTTTGGACTTAAATGTCAATTATATAAACTGACAAACCTCAGCTAATCAGTATTATCCTTGTAGATCACCATGTCTTTCACATATCAAACTTGGACCACCTCTGGGTGTCTAAAAGCATTCTTCGAGTTTGTTTGCATTTTCTTCCGCTTGCTGGTAATTGTGTTTTTAAATGCAGATGTGATGTAATCTTATTTTCTTTGGATCAAAGCTGGACTGAAAATTGTATTATGTAATTATTTTTGTGCTCTTAATGTTATTTGGTACCTAAGTTGTAAATAATGTCTACTGCTGTTTATTCCAGTTTCTACTACCTCAGGTATCCTATAGATTTTCTTCTACCAAAGTTCACTTTCACATTGAAATTATATTTGCTATGTGACTGATTCCTAAGAGTTCCAGGGCTTAAGGGCACCTTATTGTGCAAGTAAATTTTAAAGATCTCTGGGTTAAGAAAATTTGGCTTCATTATATTCTTTGTTATTTTAAATATATCAAGATATTTTAATTAAAAGTTTTTACCCCTTTGAACAATTTTATAGTATAATTTGTACCTATTTTGGTGGTTTTGTCTTTATAGTAAATAAAAGATTTTGGACAAAACTTGTCCTTTTTTGATGGCAATTACCTTGACTTTATTACTTCCTAGAATTACTGTATTATATGTATTTTGCTTTAAGCAAACAAGATCCTGTCACTTGTTCTGTGGTCTGAAAAGTGCCTGCAAGTAAGGATGTCATTGTTTGTTTCTTGGTCTTAGAAACACTTTGTATTTGGAACAATTGCTATAACAAAAATCTAAACTGCTTTATCTACATATTCCTGTAGGGTAAGGATTCTTAAAGTTTCAAACCCATCAATGAATGTGATGCCCCATGAATTAAAAACTACTGATTTTGTTGGGGTTGCAGTGATAGAAGCTTGCAGCTTTATAAAATTGAATTTTTAATTGGAACTGGGAACTTGCTTTAGTTTTTCATAATTCTTGGAATTTAGATTTTATTTTTTAAGACTACCATGCTCATTCTTGTTTCATATTTATTTTGGATTGAAATTTGCTCTTTATAAAAGTAACTGCAGAAATTTCAGACTTTCCTACTGGCTCATCCTGGCAGCGTGGAAGCAAATTCTAAGATCAATTCAGCTTTGAGTGTACATCTGATGGACCTGTGAGATCTCACTTTATGGCTGTAGCTTCTGGACAAATTAGCTGTCCTATAAGATTATATTCAACCTTTCCTTCCCTCTTCTACCTATATGAGTCCCAAAGCCCATACCTCCTATGTCTATAGCAGAATCTCTAAGCATTGAGGTGAGGGAAAATCATAAGGACATCTCTTTCATAAAGAATGAAAAAGCTACTTTGCAGCATTTGCTGTTTCTCACATAGATGGCAGAAGATTGATTAAGAGGTCTTGGCAGCAACATTCTGTCAGAATGCACACCGTGCCAAGTAGCATTTTACACATTTCTGATCTTTGTTGTAGGGTCAACCTATGGAATAGCATCCTTCAGAGTCAGATAACACATAATCAGAGTTGGAAGGTACTTATAGGTCATCTAGTCCAACCCCCCACCCAAGCGGGAGTCCTATGTGGCTCCCATCCCAATGATATTCAGAAAGTCATTGGAAACCTGGCTATTATTCTCCAAGGGCTTGAAGTAGAGTGATTCTTGAGTCTTTATGCAAAATGTTCTTAAATCTTCTGCATGTATGATTTGTATCTGTTTTTATAGTTTGGTGATCTGTAACTGTAAACTTACCAGAGTTGTTTAAGAGTTCTGTGGCCTTTAATTTGAAACCAGGTAGCCCTTGACTTAAAACCACATTTTGGACTCAAAGATGACTGGAGCTGATTTTACAGCCATTTTTATGGTACTTATAAAATGAATCACTGTGGTTGTTAAGCAAATCACATGGTCATTAAGCAAATCCAGTTTCCCAAAATTTTTTTGTCAAAAACCAATTTTAAAAATGTTGCAAATTGTGGTCATGTGACTGTGATGCTGTCCCTATACAAAAAGATGATCTCGGTGCCAAGTGCCCAAATTGTGATCACGTGACCATGAGGGTGATGTGAGTGAGTGTGAGTACAAGTCATAAAACACTTTTTCTGAGACTGCCATAGTAGCTATGAATCATCATTGAACAAACAGTTGTAAGTCAAGGACTACATGCATTTAAATAAAGCTCTTGAAGACAAATTGGAGGGCTGGGCAGGATGCTTACTCTCTTTGGCCACCTAGTGGGATGATAAGACTGCCAAGATTATCAGCTTCAGCTGAATGGAGGGTGACCAAGGGTCCAGGAGAGCACAGCAGTATTGAGGAATGTCTCCTTGGCTTCTTGAAGGAGTGTGCAAGAGGTGAAGCACTGCTGTTGTGATTCTTCAGCAAAAGGAGCCCCTTCATAACCCTAACCTTTCTTTTAAGAAAGAAACCCTAACCTTTCTTTGCCCGAAGGCTGCTTGAATCCTACTGATGACAGGCAACCTCTTCGTGCACACATAGTACCTACCAAGTGAGACATTCTTTATATACAACACAGTCCAAAGGATCAGGTGAAGTCAACAAATGCAGAAGGCAGAATCTGCTATGCAGCAACCAACTAAGTGCTCTACTCAAAGGTCTGGGAAACCAAAAAGGGTATGTCTATCACTTTTCAGAATTTCTCAACATGGTGTGACTTCTGGCTCCGAAGGCTTTTTTACATAGGAAAGTAGAGAGTGCAGCTTGGCAGTACTCTGGTTTTTGTGAATATCTCTGATTTGTGATTCATACTATGTGACATAATTTGCCAAGCATTTTCATTGCTTATTGAATTAATTTCCATAAAATATACCTGTGCCCACAATGATTGCCATGTTAACTAACTGAAAAGCTGGAATTCAGCATTATATGATATCAATTCAGTAGGCATTGACTGGTTATGTGCCTTCAAGTCTGTGTCAACTCTTAACACCTACATACATTTGTCTTCATCAATAGCTGCCTCTAACCTGGTCTCCCAATGCCTATACCCACTACCACTCTGCTGTTGATTCTCTTTCCTTCCACCTTTCCCTGTTTCTTTGCTTGCTTTTCTGTTAAAATATGGGGGGAACTACCCCTTTATTATTTATAACTAGTAAATAGTATTCATTCAATTTTCAGTTGACAGATGCAGAGGCTTACAATCTGAACAAAATATATATTAAAAATACTGCAACAAAAAAAATCAGAAAACGGACAAAACAAAAAAAGACAATATCTCTGAAACACTCTGATTTTTTAAAAGTTTTGTGAAGGTTCACAGTGGAAAGCTGGGAGGCTATATAAATATTTTTAAATGAATAAATAAAATTGTTGATTAGCTGGTTGATTAAATGATTACATTAAAAAGCTGATCAAATTTCAAGGGGCAGGAAGTTTCATAGTATCTGCTCCACAACAAGAAGGAAAAAAAGGTTCATGGGTCTTCATTCTCTTATTCAATTGAAAGGGGGGAACTACAGGTAACCCTTGACTTACAATCATAATGCAGCCAAAAATTTCTGTTGTTAAGTGAAACATTTGTTAAGTGAGCTTCACCCCATTTTACGACTCAATGAATCACTGTACTTAATCAGTTAGTAACCTGGTTGCTAAGTGAATCTGGTTTCCCTATTAACTTTTGCTTGTTGGAAGGTCGCAAAAGACGACCCACATGATTTTGGCACACAGCATTGGTCCTAAATATGAACCAGCTTCCAAGCATCCGTATTTTGATTCCATGATTATGGGGATGCTGCAAAGGTTGCAACTGAAAAACAGTCACAGGGAGCAATAGAGCAATTAGTTGTCACACAGAGTGGTTGTACACTTTGGTCCCTTTTTTCGGGGCCGTTGTAAGTCGAGGACTACCTGTACTAAAAAGTTCTAATTAGTTCAACTAACTTTCGAAAAATCAGGATTTTAACTCATAAACTTTCGTGCCAGCCACGGCTGGCTGTTGCTACAAGCACTCCTAATCGCTAGGACCTCTCGAAAACTCCACTGCTCACAGGAGGCCTGACCGCACAAGCCTTTAACCCGAAACCCAAGTATTCCGCTCCTAAGCCAGCCTGCAAAGAATGCGCGACAATTGTTGCCCACCATTCGGATCTGCCCCAGACTGGCACAGAAAGCAGAGCGCAAACTTGCTCCCGAGATGGCCAGCATCCCTCCCTCAAACGCGTCCCGGGAAACTCTGCCCGTGTCGAGTTTGGTTCCGGAGGATTCTTTCCCCGAATTGCGGAGGCCGACAACTGGAGGGTTTGGGGTTTTGTTTTTTTACGAGGGGCGAGTTGGGATTAAGCGCTTTTATTTGGGGTTATGTCCCCCATCACGTCGAAGCATATGGGCGAAAGGCAGATTAGTCCCGTCCCCCACCGAGAAATTAAGAGCCGCCTTCGAGATTGGCGGAAACACGTTCACACACACACTTTTATTCCCCCCCTGCGGCGGGCCTTCTCCTGCTTTCGGGCGGCGGGGCGGTTTGCAGGCACGGCCCCGCCATGATAGGCAGGTTGCGGAGGAGCTGGGAGACCTACAAGTACCGCTTCGTGCCCTGGATCGCGCTTAATCTCCGCCATAAGCGCAGGTGAGGGCGAGGGCCGCGTAAGGAAGGGCCCCGTTCGGGGGGAGAACGATACAGAGAAACCGGGAACACCCTTTGCGGGATTCCTGCGGGCGCTGTTCGAAGGCTGCGGGATCTGGGCTGCGGAATTCCGAAGGATCGCATTACTGCCATCCCGTTCTCGCCAGAATTTTGCAACCGGATCGAAGCTTAATCTTTCTCTTTCTTCCTTATCCATATTACTAAACCTTTTCCTTCCTTCCTTCCTTCCTCTCTTTTCAGTACCAATATTTCCGCTTTCTGATAGAAATCTTTGTTTTAACAATCTGCGCCCGTCTCTCCATATATGATGGTGTTTTTTTTTTAAAGGCACACATTCTCTTCATAAGTACGATTAAGTAACTCATTAACTTTGAAGAGTAATTAAAACTCAAAAGGGAGAATTTCTGGTATATGAGGACAATTCTATACTGACAGCAGTTCATGTTCGGTTTAATTGGGTTTTTCTCTCCAACCTGTGTGATTTCTGAATTAACAGACAGGTGTCTGTAATAAGAGAAGTTTGAATTGGTTTTTGGTTTCCTTGAAAACTAATACATATAGCAAGATGAAAATGTTTGGTTTAATATACTGAGTAAAGTTGTAGGGAATTGCAGTCTTATATTTTCACACTCAAAGAATTTTTATTGTCTAATAGGATACTAATGCTTGCAACTGAGATTTACGAAACATGTTTATTTTATAAACATTTCTCTTTGACACTGATCACAAATTATCAGTTTTAAATTGGGGGGCGGGAGGAATTTGCCCTACAATATCCTACTCTTAATCCAGTCATCAATAGAATAGTTAGATTATATTGAGTAATTAAGTCTCTTTGTTTGAAATATGTTTTCATTAGAAGTGATTCTTGTCCCTACTTTTCCTCACACGAAGGCAAAGGTGATGTTTATCAAATACAAATTAATCATAACTGCCAACTAAAAGAGTTGAAACAGGGAGAATGATGTGCATGTTTGTGTAGCTCACAAATTTAGAGTACCATATGGTTTGTGGGCATTTTGATTTCATCAATACCTGGAGAGAACTAACAGAACTGCTGTTGCATCCCAAGGAGACCAGGGATTGTAATTCCACATCTCTGAACTCTAGTCACTATGGGGATATAGTAATTTGCAGATAAGAGGTAAATTGCAACTGCTTTGCTAGCTACATTGACTAAGGCTTTGATTCTCCCATAGTATCTGTCTGAATGGTTCACTCTGGTATTGAAATAGTGTCACCTATTAGAACCTTGGAATGCGCTTCCTCCATAGTAGGGCCTGTCCTCTGGAATGTGGTTCCCCTGAAATTCAAACTTCCCCACCTACTGGGATTTTGAAGGGCCTGGCTTTTTCTCTAACTCTTTGGACAGGATGATTGATGCAGTGGTGGGATTCAAATTTCTTTACTACCCGTTCTGTGGGCATGGCTTGGTGGGCGTAGCAGGGGAAGAATAATGTAAAATCTCCAGTCAGAGGTGGTATTTGCCGGTTCTCCAAACTACTCAAAATTTCCGCTACCAGTTCTCTGGTCAGAACCTGCTGAATACCATCTCTGGATTGATGTCTCTTCCTTCCTTTTTCTTCCCTCTGCCATTGTTCTGACCCAAACCTCATTCAAATCAAAGAAACACAAAGTATATATAAAAGCAAACCTTTTTAATGCATCTCTGAATTCTGTTCATTCACAGCAAAGAGTCATTAAAACTAAATAAGAGCAATCCCTTTCAAGGTTATGAAAGGCTGCCAAGAATACAAGATTAATTGCAGAGAAATATTCCAAACCAAAAGTCTCCAAACACGAACCAGAACAGACGGGACTTCCACAAGAACTTGAAGTTGAAAGAACTTCTTTGCTTTTTGCAAAGAACCCAACCCCTGAGGGCTGGTTTTTATCCCTTATGGGAAGGGCCATCACCTTGCAGCTTTACTCCCGAGTCGCCCTTGCTGCTGCAGCTGCTCTTTCCTTCAAGGAGCCCTGTGCGCACTGGGCACAGGCTCCTTGGGGTCCTCTGCATCACTGTTGCCAGACTTCACAAGCTCCGAAGGCAGCACCCCCCCTCTCCGATAGTCCTGGCCCCATCCCTGCATCACACGCAGGGCCCTCATGTGAGTCCACGTACTCAGAGATCGCTGTCATACGCACCTGCTGCCGGCGAACCACAACAGCCATCATTGTCCCTTTGATTTGTGCTGTTTTTATGTTTCGGTATTATTTGGGTTTTAAAACATATTTTAACAATTGTAAGCTGCCCAGAATCACTGGGAATTGGATAGCATATACATTGAATACATCATCTTCATTATCAGCCAGTAACTTTGTTAACATCTGAAATTTAGAGAAACTGCTGTGGGCCATACATTACAATTTAGCTAATTAGAAATTGAACAACTACAAATGCATCAATTTTATTCTAAAACAAGGGAGTCTCCTATCCTTGGTCTTCCAATTTGCCACTGTGCGCGCGCAAAATCATTCCCCCAGCATTGCCATCCCCACCACCTTCTGGAGCCGAAAAGATTGGGAAATGCTGCACTGAAGCCTTTGTTTTGTTTTCGCCTCTGGTGGGAGAAACACAAGCCATTGAAATCAGTTATTTGCCTAGGAATCTCAACACAAGACAGATGAGATTACAAACTATTTTTCCAGACCAGCCATTCCAGGGCTTTTTTTTAAGGTAGGTTGGGGGAATACAGGACCTTTTCAGGCATTAACAGGTGCTGAGGAGAATCCAGTTAAGGTCTCTGGCCTAGATGATGTATAGGAGTGGACATCCTGTCTATCTGTCTCTGTTTGATATCACACTAGCCATGTTTTGGAAATTATAATCATTAACAATTTAACAAAATTTTCTTATAAAAAAAATAAAAATATTTCTGTATGCTTCCTTCCCTACAAATTTTAAACCGTGACAATTCTTTTACCTTTTCCTCCTATCTTACTTCAGGACTTTGCGGTTTGTGCCAGAAGAATCTAAAGACAAAATTGCTTCTGATGAAAATGTTCTTCAAACATTACTGAAAACATTTAGATCTTTGTTTGTAAATGACTTGAGCAGACAAATGTGCCTTTTGGACCTAATTCCAGAAATTAAATTGAAATATCCAGAAATACATTCAGTGCAATCCCAAATAATACCCAAAGCAATATCCAATGATCAAGAATGCCAAAGAGCCCTTAATCCAGAAGAAGTTCTGTTCAGCACACTAGGATTCAACATTATTCGACAACCCAGTTCACTGGAGTCAGCTGGAATAGGAGTTTTTGTAGCAAAAGGGTTTGTTCCAGAAGGAACAGTCGTATCAATGTATCCTGGTATGGAAATATTATTTTCATATAAATTCATATAGAAACCGCCTTACATTTCATTCATCAGGTGGTGCAGCAGATCATAGCTTTAGGTTTAATCCTTGATTTAATGTTTATATGTGGAGGACACTTTAGAAGGTTTGGGAAGGTGGATGGATGGATAGGTGGGTAGATGGATGGAAGGATGATTAATGGTTTCATGTCTTAATAAAGCAACCCAACTGTTTGCAAGCCACAAACTCAACACTTTCTGAATTGAGTCCTGGATTCCAGGACTTCAGTTGTTGCTCCATTGAAGAATAGCTATGTTTAAAAAAAACAGGTACAGTCTATGAAAATCATGAACCCATCTTTTTTCAATCCATTGGCAATCCATTTATATTTAGGTGTATCGATGGTGTACTTATTGATGGAAATAATAGAGGAATCTCAAAGGCTATATACAGGTAAGGCATACTAGCATTGAGTAAATATTAATATAAATAAGGAGCAATTAATAATTATTCCCAATGTTTATACCATATAAAGTTCAGGTAGTATTCAATATGCTACCAAGGAATTGCTATGGATCTTCAGAATACAAAGTGGGTATGAAATAACTAAATTGAAGCCTTTGGGATATCTAGTTGCTGATTTTGCCTTGCAGAAAAAGAAAAATCCACAAATTAAAGTTGTAACAGGAAAGCTCAACACAGCTGAAAGTTGAATATATTACATATTAGCAGAGTAAGTAACTGTGAATTGAGATCGTCCCAAAATTGCTTTTTCAAGAGGCAACTGGCCTTTCTGGTTTTTCTTTGAAGATGTTTCACTTCTTATCCAAGAAGCTTCTTCAACTCTGCTAAAGAAAAACCAGAAAGTATAGTTGTCTCTTGAAAAAGCACCTTTGGGACAACCATGACTGGGATGACTGGGAATCTCCATAGACGTTTATGAATTGAGATGGGAGTAAAATTGGAGACTTTCAATTAAGATCAAATTGTTTTCTTCTCAGACATGAAAAACAAGGAATGGTATTTAATTACATAGTTAAGAAAACGTAATTAAAGACAATACCAGGTTATTATGCAATGAACAACTGATTAATACTAATTAGAGAATCTTGTGGTATGACATTGTCTAAATTTATTTATATTGGCCACCCATCTTATCACATGGTAACCCTGGGCAGCTTATAATCATAAGTTTATGATTTTTGCCTCAACCACTAATGCGGAAAAAGAGGTTTATGAATTTAATGATCAAATGTAAGATGAAAGTGACAGAATATGCAAGCAAAATATGCTGCTTGTGGCTGAAAACTACAATGCCAATGTTAGAAATGTTCAAGGCATAAATGCCGAGACTCAAATTATCATACTTTGGACATATTATACTAAAACCTAGCTCAGTGGAAAAGACTAATGCCGGAAAAGGAAGGAAAGAATTAAAAGAAGAGGATGACCAGCAGCAAGGTGGATGGACACCGTTACAGTGATTATAGGTGCATTGTTGTAAGGCTTAGAGGACTAGGTTGGGAACAGATCATCCTGGAGAAGAAGTGATGGCACGTAATCAAACAATAATCACTAGGGTTTGTGTATTTGTGTTTTGTGTAAGTGATGTGTACCGTGTTTCTCCAACAATACGGCCTCACCCAATAGAAAGTCCCAGCATGTTTTATAGGCATAAAATGAAATTAAGCCCCTCCCCCCAAATTAAGGCCTATATTAAACATACGAAATGGGGGGAATGGCAGAGGGGGCTTGCCGTTAGGAAGTACTTTTGTTGCATACCCGGATATGGTGCTGCCTGTGTTGACCTCGGGGTTGGTGGGGCGCTTCGTATTGGGAGACCTTCCACCACCATTGTTTTCCCTTCTCCCCGTGCTGCCACGGCTTTTAGAGCAATGCCGCGGCATTTGGCGCAGCCACGCGGCATTTGGCACAGCCATGCATGGCCAGTCAGGGCTTCTCCCTGCAACCAGGGCCCAGTGGAGACACTCGGCTTCAGGCGCTCCTGTCGCCGCCGTCCCGGGAATCATTTGAAAGCAAAGCCCACTCTTTTAAAAACGATGCCCTACTACGACAAAGCCTCCCCTGCCCGAGAGGGCAGCCCAACCCCACGTGGGGAGGTGGATCTCCTGGGGCCGCAGCGCAGGATCGGCCCACCCCAGGAGAAGCGCCAAGCCGCCATCCCTGCCTGGTGCTGGGCAGAACACGAACAGCTTTGCCTAGGGTGTCCAGCGCAGCTGACAGATGGGCCCTCCTTCCTGGCAGCAGAGCTCCCGCCAAGGCGAGTGCCTCCCCGCTGGGCTCTCCGCTCATCCCACAAAGGCCGCGCCGGAGCCAGGTGGGCTGGGCAGAGCCAGGAAAGTGAGCCATGGCTGCGCACCCGCCTGCCAAGCGAAAAAGCCAGGTCGACCTGAGCCTGGCTTCCTTCCCAAGTCCCTCCAGCCCGACCCCAAAGGGGCCACTGGGAGAGGCCGCCCAAGGCAGTGATAGCATCCACCCAGCCCTGGACAGGGAGGCAAAGTGACGGCCCATGCCACGTCCTCCGAGCTGAGCCCCACCGAGCGCCTTTGCCCGATGCCCATGCGGCTGCAGCGTTTGGAGCTGCCGGCGCATTTGGAGAAGTGTGGGGACGGGGACGGTCTGAGCGAGGGGTGGAAAGGACGGGTGGTTTTGGGATCTCTCCGCCGAACCTGCCGGCCAGGGAAGCAGCGCTGCCATCGCCTTTCCTCCCTGTCCGCAGATGGGTGGGCGCTATTACAGCCTCGGGCAGCCTCTCCCGGTGGCCCCTTCAGGTTCGGGCTGGAGGGACTTGGGAAGCCAAGCTTGGGTCAGCCCGGCTCTTTCACTTGGCAGGCGGATGTGCACCCACAGCTCACTTTCCCAGCTCTGCCCAGCCCACCTGGTTCTGGTGCGGCCCTGGCGGGATGAGCGGAGGGCCCAGCAGGAAGGCGCTCACTGCCTTGGCAAGAGCTCCACCGCTGGGCAGGAGGGGCCACCTGTCAGCTGCACTGGGCGCCCCAGGTGAAGCTCTTCGCGCTCTGCCTGGCACCAGGCAGGGATGGCGGCTGGGTGCTTCTCCCGGGCTGGACCAATCCTGTGCTGCAGCCCCGGGAGATTCGCCTCCTCACGTGGGGTTGGACTGCCCTCTCGGGCAGGGAGGCTTTGTCGTAGTAGGGCATTGTTTTTAAAAGAATGGGCTTTGCCTTCGAACGATGCCCGGGACGGCGGCGACAGGAGCGCCTGAAGCCGAGTGTCTCCACTGGGCCCCAGTTGCAGGGAGAAGCCCTGACTGGCCATGCATGGCTGTGCCAAACGCCGCGTGGCTGCTCCAAATGCCTGAAGTTGTGTCTCCCCCGGGCTCCGGTTGCAGGGAGGAACCCTGGCCAGCCCCACATGGCTGCGCCAAATTCTGTGTGGCTGCGCCAAACGCTGCGGCATTGCTCTAAAAGCCGCGGCAGCATGGGGAGAAGGGAAAGCAACGGTGGTGGAAGGTCTCCCGATACGAAGTGCCCACCAATGCCGAGGTCAACATCCAAGCTGTCGCCTCCTGCCCGCCCGAGATTGCAAGGGTTGGTGGAAATTAAGTCACCCCAAAAAAGATGGCCTAGCCATTTTTTCGAGGGTCAAAAAAAAACAATGCCTGGCCTTATTTTGTGAGAAACACGTGTATGTCTCTTGTTAAATGTTTCAACATTTAAGCTAACAAATAAAGCACACTTACTTCCTGGTGCCACAATTTCTGGCCAAGATAATTGCTAATAGGTAGTTGGTGGATAAAATGCTATTTGTATTGATTTCTACAGGATATAATAAAATTACAGAATGACAGGAGTGCTTATACGTTATTTTCTTTCCTTTTTGTTGGAGAGGAATCATAGTGGCAGTTCAGAGTACGGCACTAATTGAATGCAGTTTCTTGCACTCTTCATCTGAAGGACAGGCTGATTGTCACATGCTATGTTTTGACTGTACTCAGCATTTTGAGACCAGCAAAAAAGACAGTTATTCTAGTAGTTCAGAATGCAGATTTTCAGAATTAAAATTCTAATTCTTTTAATTTAAAAGAATCTAAAACAAGTCATTAGTATCACACCATCTCTGCTATAGTTTGCAGAAACAAATATTTAGCTCCACCATTGAAAGGATGTATGTCTGTTGGGTACAGTAATTCAGCTCTAGCAAGTGAATCAGTGGTAGGATTCAAATATTTTTACTACCAGTTCTGTGGGCGTGGCTTGGTGGGTGTGGAAGGGGAAGGATACTGTAAAGTCTCCAGGCAGAGGTGGTATTTGCCGATTCTTTGAACTACTCAAAATGTCCACTATTCGGTTCTCCAGAACTGGTCAGAACCTGCTGAATACCATCTCTGAAGTGAATGTAATTTGTAACTGTCCAAGAAGCAATCAAAAAAGAATGTTATGGCTAATGTTATAATATCATTTAGGTCATGCAGCAAAAGAGATCAAATTGGTCCTTTAAAAATGTGTGATGTCTTTTGGCTTACAACTGCTATGCAGAATCCACTGGCTGTGGGACAATATGTCAATAATTGTTCATCAGGTAAGGCCAATTTTTCTCCTTTGGTTAGATTTAAAAATTGAAATTGTTATGCATGTTGTTAGTCTGCCAAAATATTGTTAGTGGGTTTTCATTTATAGTTTCTGCAAATAGTGGAGGTTTATTCTACATCAGAGAAAAGTCTACTCATCTCCTGAAGAATGGCTTAGATAGTAAAGGGATTGTTTACTTGAATAAATTCAGAAATATATTAATATTCTCTTTTTCGCTTAAGATACTTCTCTTTTTCCTTCAGAAAAAGAAGCAAATGTTTGCTATCAGGAACTGAACATACCTAAATGTTTTCCGGTAGAATTTAAACAGTATCTTCCAAACATAAAATATAGCCATGAAATAGAAAGGTGAGAAATTTGTATTTTTGAATATTTCTGGAATAATTTAATAATTTAAATAGTTAAGCATTCTCAAATATTTGAAGAAGGATATGTCAAGATTGTAACAGGAAAATTTGCTTGCGTTGTTAAAAATATCAATGCACAATTGAGAGACCATCTTCTTTTTCTGCACTATTCAATCTGCAGGCCCTTGAGATGTGTGGTTTTGGTAGCTCTCCGAAATATTGGCCCAGGAGAAGAACTTTTTTCGAACTATTACACAGTTATTTCTTGATGGTCAACTATGGATTTTTACAGTGATTAAACCAAATGTGGTATCTTTTAACAAAGAATACAAAATTTTTATTGAGAGTTAGGTCATGGCTTCAATTATATATTTACTAAGTCAACTTTGTTGGGTTTTTTAAACAGCCTATCTGAAAGCTTTGGTTGAAATTTAAACTTTGTGGATTAATATGGGACATAACTTATTTGGGAAATGCTTGCTACACAAACACCAGTACAAGAGTTGAAATAAACAGTGTTCCCCTGTGTACCTGGCTCCAGCATAGAGACTTCATGTTGTTCATTGTCTCCCTCTGTTGTCTTTTAAATGTATTGGATTTAACACATTTCATATTTTGGGTTTTGAATGGCTTTATCATTTCTTTTACTATTGTTAAAAGAATTTTGTCCATTTAGTTAACTTAAAAAATATAAACCAAAAAATTGCTTATACTTTATGAAAAAATATGTTCTGTCTGACACTCACAAACAGAAATAACAAATCCACGTGCAGGCTGCACTGCAATTCTTTAGAAAGAGAACCCATCCATTCTCTAGACTTATAGCTGCAGAAAGTCATTATAGTTGAATCCTTATTCTCATCAACGGTCCTTGGAATTCTGTACAGAAAAGATTTAGATGAGTAGATAAACATTTTGCTTTCAAATAAATGAGTTTTGAGATCAATTTTGAAATAAATGAGTTTTGAGATCGATTTTGATACATTAAATCCAATAAAAAGACATAGAAACAAACCTGTTAAAAGTAGATATTGTGTCCATTTTAAACTATTTTTAAAGATATGAAATTTAGGTAGATTTCTGAAAACTTTTTTCCAGTGTGATTGCAACAAATACTACATTAATATTCCCCATATAATGAATTAATATTGTTGAGAGCTGTTGATATATCTATATTTTCTGTAGAAAGTTTTTGATGAGTACTACCTGTGTCACTTTTACCAAATTGCATTGCAAATGCATCATTATGTTGATTTTGAAATTTCATAGCTCAAAAATAAATTGCTTAATGCATATATTTTTGAAGTCCACTTCAATACTGTAATCTTATCAAGTTTTTCTTGATGTTATTCCCATTAAAGTTAATGAAGCTTACCTCTGATCCCTAAGAACACCCAATACATTTGTTCAACTTTTTTTTAAGGTCATCTGTATAATAATATAAAGCAGTGGTTTATCATGTTTTGGGGGTTCAGGTATACAATTACATCCCATTTATTTAATAATATTCCTTCCATCACATTAGAAATCACAATTCAGAGAATTTTAGAGAATCTAGAGACTATAGCTTGTCAAATAAACATATCCATGTCATGAAAAGAAAAGTGGAATATGTTTATGTGATTACTTTCCCGGACGCTTCCCAGATACTTCGCCAGATGTCAGCTCCGAAGAGGATGAACCAGTTCAAGGCACATCTGGAGGGGAATTGGTCAATGGCTCCAAGCAGTTGTCTGAAAGGGATTTGGCTGAAGCACAGCGGCAGCAGGACATCCCTGAGGCTTTAGGTGGGGAAAACATGCAGCTGCAGCTGGTCAGTGATGAGGAACTGCCTTCTGCACTTGATCCAAGAACATATAGGGCAGAAAAAAGGCAGCAGAGATCAGCCTGATTACTCATGAGGAAGCAGCCTCACCCCTCTTGATAGGCTGCACCAGAAACTGGCTATTTAGCACAGCAGATAGATGGAAGCAATGTTAGGAATGTGTTTGTTTCCTTGCTGTGTGTTCTTGCCTTGAACTTTGGATCATCTCTCTTCAGCTGTTGCCCTTGCCTTTTCCTGTGGGTTTGCCTTTGTCTTGGAACTTGCCTTTGTCTTGGGACCTTGCTTTTGCCTAGTGGGCTAGACTTGCCTTGAGGACTGGCGTTGGCTTGATTTGGGTAGCCTGTGGGACTTATTGGGGTTGAGCTAGTGCCAGCACAGGGAATTGCTGAGAAATACAATTCGGTCTTGGAAGCCTTAATAAAAAGACTCCTTACACCCGTGGTGTGTGTGTGTGTGTGTGCATGAATGAGTGGGACAGCAGAGTTTACAGTGGATACTGCTCCAATTGTTCTGAAATTTCATTACAGCAAATTAAACTTTGGGCAGGTAGTGTTGCAACTCATTAGTAGTTATGAATGCTTTAATCTATTAGATGCTGCACTAATCAAAACAAAAAAACAAAAGTCCCACTCCAAAAGCCAAAAAGTTATGACTGGTATCATTCTCAAGGACTATCACGTTTGTAACACTGTAAGAGATATAACATGGATCTTCTGGCATGTCTAACTGCCATGGTGCAGGAAGGTCCTCCGTAAAGTGTGAAAAAATAGGAACATAAGCAGCATAATAGTACCAGCTTGATCCTTTGTTCCTTTCTATATGGACATCTGTTGGAATACTGTTTTCAATTTCTTCTCGACAACAGGTCATATTGATCCTTTTTACAAGTGGCACATCCTTTTTCCCAGTCTTTTCCATAGTATTAATATAGATTTTGTCATTCAGTTTCCATTTCTTGACAGTTGCAAATGGAGTATTTGATAGCACATTTTAAAAATCTTTGTCCAAAGATTGTCTAAAGGGACAAATAATGTTGCAGGAGGAGAACTTTCATAGGAGAAAAAGGGGTTTCCAGACATTTATTTCTGGAACTGTACACCAGATATTAAAATACAACAAATACAAAATAATGTTCAAAAAAAAAGTGTTTATGTACAAATATTAAAACCAATGCGACAATAGCAACTTCTTCTTAAGCATCAGATATTAAAACTGGTTGCGATTGCCACTAATTTATGCACAGGGTGAAGCAATTTAAACCTAGCAATGGTGGACATGATTGACTGCAGTCCTCAACTGGCCTGAAGCAATAACTAGAATATGCCACTCCCATGGGAAATCATAATCATGATTATTTGCACATTCACTTTCCCATTTATAGACACTGTGCTTGTAACACTGGGCAGTCTTCTAGTGGCTAGGCTATCCACTAATTTACATTCAAAGAGTTTGTTTCAATTAAATAGTATCACTAATGCACTACTGGATGTGAAGTTAACTTGGATCCAATTATTGGTTTTCAAAGAAAAACTGCACAAAATCTAACAGTACAGAGCTCAATACTTCAGAGAATATAATGCAATCTGTAGGTAAGTTTGGCCTGTCTACATAAAGAAGAAAAATGAACACTTAAAAAGCTATCAATGAGAGGATGAAATGGCTAACAAAAGTTGAAGTATTGCTCTATTGCAGCACCAGTTGCACATCCAAGTGAATCTAATGTTCTTTTGGAGTTCCTGTAAGCGATACCTCTACAAACTGCAAATGCCCACCATGAATTTTTGGTTTATACGAATGGATTGAGAACAAGGGAGAACAAAGAATATACTCAGCAATGAACAAAGAAGTCATCACAGTTTGTTAGAAGAATTGTGCTTTACCTATAATGAATCAATGCAATGTAGTTTTCACATGGCTGCAATTTAGCCAGCTTCATTCGGATTCAAACGCAATTCTTTTAATAAACAGTAACAATTTCTCCAGTAAAATGTTTAAAATAGAGAGAAACAGTTTTAAGTCCAGCTTTTAAAAAGAAAAATTCAATAAATAGCTATTTTACATGAATAAAGTCATAGTGGTACAAATTTATGAATGTCACATCAAGCATGCACAAAATGTTACTATACACAGAAGTAGTCAGAAAATATTGAAATAGATATCTAAAAAGATATGCAGAATGTACATATTTACATAATCTTGCAAATTATTGCCTCATTTTAACAAGGAATTAAAAGTAAACATTACCAGCTAGCTAGCCAATAGGCTAAATTAGATCAGCAATTAAAAATCTATTAAAACTAGCCAGAATTCATTGTTCTCTCATACCATTTTTAGAATTTTGGTCAAAAATCTTTATTAAATAACTAAAGTGTCCATTTAACTTGCTGACAATCAAAACTTTAGACGAGAAACTAGACTGTCTCGGTCTTCATTAAGACCCCAGCAATGCATAGATAAACTGAACATATAGTACTGCATCAGTTGATGAGAATGGGTGTGTTCATTTAAGTGCAACTGGTATAAGCATTCATACATTTTGTGTGATGATTTTTATACAAACCAGCCACTGGAAAAACCCATACAATGAATGTATAACAAAAGGAAAAAATACGGCCAGTATTTTACAAAATTAAATAAGATGTGTTAAGATAAAACCCCCACAAGATACAGCATTCAGCACAAATTACAGCAACAGGAAGCTGACAATTTGACTGAAAGTATCAGAATATGACCCAGGGCCAAGGCTACCATTATTGTGTACTGTATTAGACCGACAAGTTTCAGATGTATATTTTACAACAGATCACCATTAACATATATATGTGGTAATTTAATTCTAAGAATGGTTAAAATGTGCTATTTGAGAAACTCAAAACTTTTGATAGTGATTCCCAGCACTCTGCTGTTGCTCAAGATGCTAATACAGTCTGTAGAAACATAAAGTACACTCCTTTTGAATTATTAACCAAGGTGTCCTTTTTTGATATACAACTATGAAGCAATTTACTATCAGTACTGAAAAAAAAAACCTTAAAATCAGTTGTAACAAAATTAAATATAACACTGGCAAGTTTTATAATTGATACCCAGTTTTAGTGAACTTTCACAAATCCTTCAACACAGAACAATCTTGTCAAAGATTTCTCTCTGGAATATTAATATACTTAAGTCTGAATAAATTCAGGAAGAAAACTACACTAATGGCTGAAAATGATCCAAAGACCCATTGCATCATCACCATCTATTAATCTATAATTTTTCATGCTATTTTGAACTGCCATGTTCTGAAGTAAAGACAAACCCCAAGATGTAATTCATTAGAGGAGTGAGGAAATTGTATCATTCTTAGTGGCTTTAAGCAGTGTTAGATAATACTTGATGTTTTCAGATTCTATTCCTCAGAAATATAAATATCCTCCACCCCAGCTTGAACAGTACACATTTTTTTCAGCCAATATGTTAAAAGTACACAAAACCTTTGGACAGTATAACTATTTTTGTATAAGGTAGCCGTGGCCTGTAAGAGCATCTAAGCTTCTCCTCAGACTTTGCTCTTACTGTCTTTTGTGCTAGTATCCACCAAGATGAATCTGTTGTTTTGTAAACTGAAGTGCTCTGGTTTAATATCAGATGACAGAAGCTTCCATTTTAAAATATCCTTGTGTAGTTGTGCAGTTTAAATTAAAGAAATGTTTCCCTGCTTTTGATTTTTTTAAAAATGCTACATTAAGCAAGGATCAGAACTTGTACCTGTAAACAAATGTTATTCCACTGCATCCATTAGGGCAGAAGCAACCTAGAACAAAAACCCATTCTATTAAGTTCAGAACTTCTGTGCTGGTTTTGAGACATCAGTCTCTCTACGGTTTTACAAAGAAAGGAAGCA